CAATTTTTGGGGCAATTCTGCCGTAACAGAGCTCATAAAATAGTGTTGTCATGGCAACGCTCTATTATGCTTGTTCTTGGTATTGAAAATTATGAAAATGTTTATCTATCTGCCGTACGATCAGACGTATTTTACATTAAAAACAAGCATGGAATAATGTTATGATAACAGATTCCAGATGAGGCAGTTATCATAAGATTATCCTTGCTTGTATATATCGCCTGATCGCACGGCAAATAAATGTACATTTTCATAAGTTTCAAGTTTCTATGTTTTAATCAAAAACTTATACTACAAGACATCTCGTTGTCTATCCAAATCTTCAAATCTATATAGATATCTACGAGTATAATATGAAAACATCGAATATTCGTGATGATCTTCAATAAAAATATATGGATGGATAATTTTAAAGTAAGGGCAAGTAGTAAATGATATGCTTCACTAATAATTCCAACCCCGCTGGACCTGCCAAAAATTAATCAATTCTTCATTTTTCCAATACCAGTGAAATGTTCTAATCAGATCATTCCAATCGGATTTATGCACTTTTTGTTCCGTACCTTCGAAAGGCTAAATCTGCCATTGCCAAAAACTAATCAGCAGGTCTCCCAGTCAATAGAAATCAATAGCTCCCGAAATCGTGGACGAAAAATTGTATCCGCACATTCACGATATTAGTTTTTCTACGGTATGCCAAAATGTTCAGTAACCTTTGAACTATGCAAAAATTTAGATTTTTTACAATCATCATTACTCTACGAGAAGTTAATAGTAACAATAATTTGAATGCAAATAAAATAATAGATAGACGTATAAAACTTGAATGATTTGCTCTTCGGATAGCAACTAATTTAGAAATTAGGTGACTTTTGTACTTTGCTGAAACTTTACCTGTCCGCAGTGTTGCCATGTCTACAGTTTTAACTGTAGATCTACAGTTTTTGGGAATGATCTCAGTTTTGCAGTTTGGGGCTCGAAATCTCCAGTTTTTTTGCTGAAGATGTTAGCGCCGTTTATTTATTTGTTATGCAGAACTTAGTGGCAGTTGCACTGAGTCAACTTCAACAAAACTACTATTGTTAAACTAGAGGTAATGGTCATCGATTATTTTAATAGTATACGCTAATATGAGAAGCTCATGCTGACTGTCAACGCAAAGAAAAACGCGTGACTAGCGGCGAAAAGCGAAATGCTATCCGTTTTATCTCTCGTTAACTTAACTAACCAACCTTTCTGTTGTTAAATATTTTCCTTCTGTAAGTCATTTTCTTGTATCTGTAAGTCAATCTAAATCGATTTGTCGACACAAAAATAGATTGTTAAAATTAAAGTTGAAAATCAACTGGTTTGTTAATGCGTTGGAAAACATATTGTTATCAAATAGTCATATTTTCAACATTTACGAATGTATAATATAATCTAAACTAGTGGGGTGTATGCATACATGGCATCGTGCCTTAAGGCAAATTGCTGGAACTTCCCGTATCGTAACAAAATGATCGAGGAATATTAAATGTTAGAATAGATTATTATAAATATTGTAACAATGTCTATTTATATTTAAAAGAATTATATAAATAAATTGGAAAGTTGAAATTATTTGTTTAAAGTATATTAGAACAGAATTAAAATAAAAATCTGAATTATTTTCGATATACAAAAAAAAATTTTTTGAAAAAAAAAATTTTAAAAAAATTTTTGAAGCCAGAATCAATTATTTTGTTAAAACGAGCAAAAAGTTTTTGGAATCATCCAAATCGGACGCTTAGTTCTCTCAAAAACTGCCATTTTTTGCACATTTAGCTCTGTATCTTCGAAACCGCTAGACCTGCCTTTGCCAAAAACTAATCACCCCTTCTCCCCGTCATTACGAATTGAATGGTTTTGGGATCATTCAAATCGGACGCTTCGATCTCTCAAAAACTCGATTTCTATTTTCTGCACTCTTCGCTCCGTATCTCCTAATCGGCTGGATCTGCCTTTGCCAAACACTAATCAGCACATCTCCCTATCAATAGGAGTCGAATGTATTTTGAACCATTCAAATCGGTTGATCCGTGCGCCCGAAAACGAGGACAAAAATTGTATCCATACATAAATACACACTCACCACAAATCCATTTTATGTGAGGTATGCTAAAATGTTCAGAAACCTTCAAAAAACGTCGAGAAATGTAAAAAATTTAATTTGATTTGGCCCATACAATAACTTACCCTACACGAAGTTAATAATCAATATTTTAAATAAAATTATTCATTGCATTTTGTTTCGTTAATACTCAACTAGTACGTTTGATTCAAATTACTTTATTAATAACCATGAAATAATAAAATAATAATGAAGTATACAATATATTGTGTAAGCTACGATGGAAAAAACTTATATTCAAGAATTATCGCTTTTGATAGGTAACGATGTTGATGAATGAATATAACAAAACCGTTAGAGATATTTATTGCTTTCAACTTTTTTTTTTCAAAAATAACACTAATGTTAATTTGTTAGTTGCTATAAATATTCTATTATAACTATATAAAATACCCTTCATTTAATGATAAAACTGTAGATTTTACAGTTTTCATTTGAATCTACAGTTTTCTACAGTTTTTTTCTGGTCTAGCTACCAGTTTTTTAGATGGTGGACCTGCAAAAATACCTGTCCGCGAAAGTTAAAATTAACGGTTAGAAGTATTATCATTACACCTGTAAATCCATATCCATTACAGATTCGCAAATTATCGATAAAATTGTTATAAGAAATTTATTGGGTTCTTCGGACCCTCCAAAAATTGCCATAGCCCACGGTATTTCACGTGGTCTCGGCGGGGTATTGGTAAAAGTTTTCAACTAGCAATAATCGCACCTCGGATAAACCTCATTGGTTACGATATCGCCACTGCGCAAAGCTAACGAACAGAACGGACCGTGTTTCTTATATCATCATACGAGCTGTATTTCGCAGCGCGAGTTTTGTTCTCATTGTGCAGGTATAAAATTTCCGCGCGCTTGCCCGTTTTATTCTCAATTCAATTGCATCGCATCTTGCTGGAACTTATCGTACTGTAACTTAGAATTTTCAAAAGCTTTAAAATTTTGAAAAATTCAACAATTTGAGAAATTACAATTTTTAACTTTCCGCATGGTAAGTTATAGTAATCGCAAAAAATCGAAAATGAAAATTTTTATATATCTTTCAAAGATGTCTGAACATTTTGGCATGCCTTAGTTATAATTAGAAAAAAAGGATGTATGTGTTGTGTGCAGGGCCGGATTTAGAAATTGTGCGCCTGGGCACTGACAAAAATGCCGCCCCATCCCAGGATTTTTACTTAAATAGTCTTTATATAAAAATTTATTTTAAATTTATTTAAAATTCATTTCGCATTACATACCATAAGAGTGGTGCTTGGCATCGCGGTTTAAGGCAAATTGCTGGAACTTTCCGCACCGAAAAATAAAATTAAATAAAAAAGAAAATTAAAATATTTTGCAAACTTTGAAAATTTTGACTTTTTTGAAAAATTCGAGTTTTTTTGAAATATTTGTATTTATATTTTTTTTTAGCAGTATAACGGTAAACAATGTTACAGAACCCATAGAAATGTAAACAAAATTTACACTTATTATTAAAATATCTGATAATTTAATGTACATGTGTCTAATGATCACTTTTGACCGCCAAATGTTTTTCAAATCTCGATTTTTTTTATTGGATCACCGAAACCGCTAGAATTGCCTCCCACAAATTTAAGCAGTTCTTCATTTTGTCTATACATGCAAATTTCTTTAATGATATTGGACATTCCGTTTCTCAAAACTGAATTATCATTTTTGTCATTTCGGCCCGTATTTTCGCAAAAGTTGGACCTGCCTTGGCCAATAACGTCTCGTTATCAATAGGAATCGTTATCATTCAAATAAAATTCAATTTTAATAAATTTAATAAATAAAGTTCATAATTTTCGAAAACATCAAAATATAAAAAAAAGTTTTTTAAGCTCAATTTTTGTCATTTTTCAAAAAATATTAAAGCTCTTTATAAATGTAATTTTCAGCACAAAAAGTTTCGGTAGCTTGCCTTAAGGCACAATGCCATACGTCACTAGTTTATTTTTTTTGGCGCTATAAGCTTGGAAGTGCACAAATTCGTCATCTTAAGAATGCTCGAGATCTTAAGAACATATTTTTCTTAAACTTTCAGCTCGTTTACGAAACTTTTTATTAGCAAAATTGTCTAAATTTGCATTGTAATCGTATTATGTTTTGTTAATTATATTTTTTTAATAAAAATGTTATTAAGAAATGAGTTAATTATATTGTATAAAATTTTTTTCACTATCCAAAATTCGCCGCACCCGAAAATTTGCCGCCCTGGGCAGTAGCCCCGGCTGCCCCTACTGTAAATCCAGCATTGTGTGTGTGTGTATGTGTGTGCGGATACAAATTTTCGTCGACGATTTCTGATCAACCGATTTGAATAAATCTAAAAACATTTGATTAGTATTGATAAGGAGACGTGCTGATTAGTTTTTAGCAAAAGCAGGTAAATGTACATTTTCATAATTTTCAAGCATAATAGAGCGTTGCCATGACAACACTATTTTATAAGCTCTGTTACAGCAGAATTGCCCCATAAATCAAAATCAAAATCTTATACTTCAAGACATCTCGTTGCATATCCAAAATCTTCAAATCTATATAGATATCTACGAGTATAATATAAAAACATCGAATATTCGTGATGGTCTTCAATAAAAAATATATGGATGGAAAAATTTTAAAGTAAGGGCAAGTAGTAAATAATATGCTTCACGAATAATAAGTTCGACCTGCTATTGTACGACCAACTACCAATTATGGATAGACATAGGAATTGATAGGTAGAATAAGTCAATAGTTCTAAATAACTACAAATACATATCTACTGACTATAAAATATAAAAATGCAAAGCAAAACGATATGATCAAAATAAATAATGAGTTGACCCACTTGTGTCTATTCGAGGACTCTTCCAATTTTCGCGTAAGTGTTTTGCATTCGTCGGTTAGTTTTATCCATGACCTTAGATTGGTTCTGAACCAAACTCTCTAATTCTTGTACGGTCGACACTGCAAAAAACACGCAAAAAACAAATGATTGCTTCTAAAAACCGATATTTAATGGAAAACTAAACATTTTTGAAATTTATTGCAGTTGATAGTCTGTTATTATGAATAACAGAGAAAACAGTAATAAATTTTGGGTATTCTAAGTTGCATTTTATATTGGGTTCCGTATTGATCATGGATAAACTATTGACATGCATGAGACCGTTCTTGTAGAAAATAAGCAGTCAATTTAGTTTTGTCACTTAATATTGTATATTTCATTATAACTGATTATAAGAAAATATAAATAATAAAAAAAATCAATTAAGTAAGTATGTTTTTAAATGTAGCAACTAAATGCGATAAACAAAAACTTTATTGGTGACCCTGATGCTCATTGATTTTTGTGAGTCAATATGAAGAAATTATAAAAATATTGATTGCCATAATTACCACATACATCTTTTCAGCGATATTTGATCAATTATAAAACAATTGATCCAAAATAAAGACAGTAATAAAGAAATTCACAATAAATTAGATATTTAGATATGGAGAAAAACCATAGCTACGAAAGTAAGTACTAGGATTGTTCAATTATTTATCAATCAAAGCTTACAAATTCACGCCAAACATTTAGAAAGTTAAATTATAAATAAGATTTCCAATTTCGATCTGCAATGACAATTTTTTCGATCAAGTTACAATGTATGTGGACTGTTCAACAGGCAATATCAATTATATAATGAACAAAAATCATAATTATCAGTTCAGCATATTTTAACAACTGTATTTTTCATTACATATATGTTAACATGTATATCAATAAAAATCAAAACTAATAATATGAATACACATATCAATAGCTTACCATGATACTCATACGTGAAGTTACAGGCAGATAATATAAAATTTGTGATAGTTTACGAGAAAATAATTACTTTTAGTATATAGTATAACATATAGCATACAATTATGATAAAACAGAAAAAAACTTACTGTGCTTATTCTCCATGTCGTGGATCATGAGTGATAAATCCTTTTTTGGATTTTCATCACTTGCAGTTAGAGAGCCAAGAGTTACCTGAAAAGTAAGTTTTTAGATGAAAATATTTGATTAATAATAAAACATGAAATAATAAGATTATAATTCTTCAAATCTTGTTCAAATTTCTGCATTTATTGCTTGAAAATTTATTAGAATAAGGTTGCCCAAGTCGTACCTCCTAAGTCCTAAGAATGCTATAATGTTTAGTGTATTTAAGATAGAAGAAAATCTTTGCCATTTGTTATTCTATATTTACTTGGATTTTTATTAACAATTGCATTTTATTTATTAAAATAGGCATTTTGACGTTTTTTGAAAAAAGAATTGAATTTTTGGAAAAAAAAACTTTTGAAAAAAATGTTTTTTTTATTTTGAAATATTTTGGAAATTTTGTACTTTTTTTTTCAAAGCAATATCGCGCTGCTTTAGTTGCATAGAGAAGAGAACCAAACTGTGGACGAAAAACTTAATAACTAGTGGTGTATGCCATCGTGCCTTAAGGAAAATTTCTGAATTTTTCGTCCTAAAAATTAAATTTTTTAAAAAAGATTAATTAATTTTTCAAATTTGAAAAAAGTAGGTTTATGAGAAATATAAAATTTTTTAACAAAATTGAAATTTTAGAAAAAAACCTTTTGGTTTTCTTTATTCTGAAATATTTTGAAAATTTTAAACTTTTTTTCAAAGCAATCGCACTGCTTTAGCAGCATAGAGACGAAATTTCAAAGCGCGTAAGCGCCGCATCGCCGTCTATCGTACAAAGGACGTTACGGAACCCATAGAAAAGTAAGCAAAATTGATAGACATTATTAAAATCTCCATAAAATATCTGATAATTTGATGTGCATGTGTCTAATGATAATTTTTGACCGCCAAATGGCAATTTTTTTTACTTTTCTTCACTAAATCTCCGAAACCGCTCGACCAGCCTTTCCAAAAATTTAATCAGTTCTTCATCTTGTCAATACAACTAAAATGTTTTTTGAGTTATTAAAACCGGACGCTCCGTTCTCTTAAAAACTGAGTTACCGTTTTTAGCTATTTTTTCCCCGTATCTTCGGAACGGTTAGACCTGTTTTTGCTAAAAACTAATCAGCACGTCTCCTTATCAATACTAATCAAATGTTTTTAGATTTATTCAAATCGGTTGATCGGAAATCGTCGACGAAAATTTGTATCCGCACACACACATACATCTTTTTTTCCTAAGGCATGCCAAAATGTTCAGAAACCTTTGAAACGTAAAAATATATAAAAAATTTCATTTTCGATTTTTTGCGATTACTATAACTTACCATGCGGGAAGTTAAAAATTGTAATTTCTCAAATTGTTGAATTTTTCAAAATTTTAAAGCTTTTGAAAATTCTAAGTTACAGTACGATAAGTTCCAGCAAGATGCGATGCAATTGAATTGAGAATAAAACGGGCAAGCGCGCGGAAATTTTATACCTGCACAATGAGAACAAAACTCGCGCTGCGAAATACAGCTCGTATGATGATATAAGAAACACGGTCCGTTCTGTTCGTTAGCTTTGCGCAGTGGCGATATCGTAACCAATGAGGTTTATCCGAGGTGCGATTATTGCTAGTTGAAAACTTTTACCAATACCCCGCCGAGACCACGTGAAATACCGTGGGCTATGGCAATTTTTGGAGGGTCCGAAAGGACCCCAATAATTCATGTATATATTATTAACACTTTGTGAATCCAAAATGCATATTGATTTTGCAGATGAAATTGAGAATAAAACGGGCAAGCGCGCGGAAATTTTATACCTGCACAATGAGAACAAAACTCGCGCTGCGAAATACAGCTCGTATGAGGATATAAGAAACACGGTCTGCTCTGTTCGTTAGCTTTGCGCAGTGGGCTATGGCAATTTTTGGAGGGTCCGAAAGGACCCCAATAAATTTCTTATAATAAATCTAATCGACAATTTGGGAATCTATAATTGATATATGGATTTACAGGTGTAATGATAATACTCTGTCTTCTACCGATTAATTTCAACTTTTGCGGACAGTTAAAGTTTCAACAAGACAAAAATTAAGTCATTTAATTTTTAAATTGGTTGTTATCCGAAATTTTATCAAAATCTGATAACTATAACGAAGGGTATTGCGAAAAATATTATATATATATCATATTTTAATCGTTATATACGATAAATGCTATAACATTCAAGTCCACGAACATGTTAAATATGAAAAAACAAATCATTCAACTTTTATAACGTTTATCTATTATTTTATTTGCCTTCAAAATTATTGTTACTTATTAACTTCTTGTAGAGTAATGTGATTGTAAAAATCTATTTTGCATAGTTCAAGGTTACTGAACATTTTGGCATGCCGTAGAAATCAACTCGATTTGAATGGTAAATTTTCGTCCACGATTTCGGTAACTATTGATTCCTATTGACTGGGAGATGTGCTGATTAGTTTTTGGCAGAGGTAGATTTAGCCTTTCGAAGGCACGGAACAAAAAGTGCATAAATCCGATTAGAATGATTCAAAAAACATTTCACTGGTATTGAAAGTATGAAGAATTGATTAATTTTTGGCAGGTCCAGCGGTTTCGGAAGTCCAATAAAAACATTTAAATAGCCATTTATCACTGTACCACTTTAGTTTGCTGAGCTTAGGGCACAGAACTTTTTGATATATCTTCAACTTTTCAATTGTTATTAATAATTCATACCTCTTTTTGCAAATTTGCCAACTGTTCTGACAATCTCAGGTTTTCCCTTCTCGCCTGAAGCAAATCAGCATCCGATCTGTCCAATCTTTGGCGCAATGATGTAATCTCAGAGTTAAGACGCGACATTTCTGATTTGGAATTTCGGTCAGCTCTCTCCAGAGATAATCTTTTTGAATACAATTTTATATTAATAATAATCAAAGTAAGGCAACTAAACTTACTAGGATATCAGCACCTTCAGAGCGATAAGGTAGAGCGGGGCCTAATGATCTGCCCACTATTATTTTCTCAAAAGCAAGTGAAGTATGGAATTTTTTAACGATACTATTTTTAAGTAGAAGGCAAAAGATTTATATCTAGTCATCAGTGTTAAGGTGATGACTTATCACCTTAATTCTTCGACGTCGCTATCAGGAAATGATGACCGTGCAACAATATTGCATAGCAAAGGTTTTTTATCGTTGTTAGTTTTTTTTGGTTTTGAATTCCTTTACTTAGTTTATAATGCCTGAATGTAATACTTGATATTACTTGAAAGTCATTAAATTGTATTATAAGATGAATTGTGATTTCTAAGTTATATTCAACCAGCTTTTTGAGTATACATGTGGGAGAGATAAAAGGATCCAACTAAACCAATACTCTTAAATAAATAAACAATTTAGAAAGTAGCAAATATTAATTTGCATTTGGGTTTCAAAAATATTAATGGTTGTAGATCACAAAACATAATTACCTCAACGAAGCAATTTCTTCTTCCAAAGATTGTTTCTCAGCATTGCACTGGGCAAGATCAGATTGCAGAGAAGCTATAAAAATGATATTCATTAGTGACAATTTTTTTATTTAATGAACAAAAATCCAAAGTACCTGTTTTATTTCGAAGTTCAGTTTTCAAATCATCAATCTGATGATTTCTGGATGTTATTTCACGTTTATAATCGGACTCTATCCGGCGCTGTCTTTCTAACTCCAATTGAAGTTTATTAGCTGTTTCCCATTGATTACTCAAATCACCACCTAGTTGATCGACCTGGATGAAAATAAGATGTCGATAAATAGATGGATAAATAATTCAATGTAATTCTTTCATTTAAATGTTTACTTTCTTAAATATTTTAAGTTCAATTAGTCTAATAGCTTTTGTATTCTGATTGCTATTTAATTGAAATAAAACAATGTTTGGTTTATTTTATTGAAAATAGTATTTTCAAAGCAGATGCTCCTTAAGAGTTTGGGTTCTACTGGTTGGAAACCCCGGCTTTAACATTTAATAATATAAATTACAAAATTTGATAGAACATGTCTTAAAGGAACGTTGTATAAGCGCATCACTTTACCATATTTAGCATTTTTGCACGATAAAAATATTAACCAAATATAAATAGGAAATTAATAATTTTGATATCGATGGATTCACATTCTGGAATTCCGGTATAAGCAGATGAAAACTTTCCAATTGTTGACTTAATTACCTTATTTATTAAAACAACCAATTTGAAAACCAAATTTTCGACTAAGAAGGGGAACCTCAAGTTTTTATGCTTATTTATCTATGACCTCAAGTTTACTCATCAGGGATTTTGTTGAAATTTTGCAGGGTAATAAAGTTGATAATTAGGATGATATATAATAATATAAATAATATAAAAACTTCTTGAAGTTATTAGCTTATTATAAGCTTAAAATAAGAAAGTTCAAAGATGAGCATAAAAGTTGAAAGTCTGCCATCTTAGCATATTAATAGGAAACACTATAAGTGCACATCTCGAGTTTATAAAGTTTAATTAATATTTATAATTGAACTACTTTTCATATGCCTATAATATTTTAAAAGGTTTTTGTTCACTATGATCTTTATCACTAAGTGAAGCTTTATGAAAACCTCAGGCGAGGAAAACTGAGGTTCTCCTTGTAAGTTAATAACATAATTACTTTAGAAGTTAATAATTAGATTGCTTAATATGTGTTTTCACATTAAAGATCAATTAGATATAGTTATTTTTAGTAATAAATTTATCAAAATGAACCTGAGCACAATATCGCTTATCAGCAGCAGCTCTTTCTTCGGCAACTCGGCGTGCTGTTTCATGATTTGCTTCACGAACTCTTTCATACTGTTTTTCTAACTCATCCTACAAAAAAATGAAATAAAATTAGAACACCAAATAATTTGGAAACGATTGCGTTATGAAGAAATTATGTATCATCTCACTTTTAGTCGTCGAACTTCAGCATCAGATTGACTCTTTTCGAAAATCATTTGCTCCAACAGCCCTTGGTTACGTTTCGATTTCAAAACTGAATCAGATTCGGCATCCCTTAATTGCGAAAGGCTTGTTTGAAGTTTAGAAATAGTAGCTTCTAGGTTACTTTTATCTCTGAAATTTATATTTTAATATTATTATTTAATATTTTTTTATATTAATACACAAGGCTACCAGATCACGATTGAAAATTAAATTCATGTTACATTTGTCAATTTCTAAAATCTTTGACAATGGTTGGAGGTCTTTGTAATTTTAAGTAATTTTTTTAATCCCACAGTTTTAATATAATAATAAAAAAATTTAAACACGCTAGTTTGATGGTGATTCTTAGGTTCATTCTGTCATCTTCAGGTATTGGGTATTATTTGATTAATAAAATAATAAAAGGACTTATGTGAAATGTAATTTTTCACAGGGAAATGGATAATAATTTTATTTCAGCAATAATATATAATGTTCATCTGTGTTCATAAACAGAGATCTTGGCAAAGGCAGGTTTAGCTGTTTCGGAGATACCGAGTAGAATGTGTAAAAAATGGCAATTTTTGAGAGAAGGAAGCATTCGATTTGAATGATTCAAAAAAATTCTGCTTGGGTTGACAAAACGATTGCTTCTGGGGATTTTTTTTAAATTTTCAAAAAAAAATTTTTTTAATAATTCTATATTTCGAATATTTCATTATGGTACGGGAAGTTCCAGCAATTTGCCTTAAGACACGATGCCATACATCGCAAAAAAATCAGAAATATTTTTTTTATATATCTTTACGTTTCAAAGGTTTCTAAACATTTTGGCATACCTTAGAAAAAATGGATGTATGTGCGCGTGTGTGTGGTGTATGTATGTATGTGTGTGTATATGTGTGTGTGTGTGTGATGTATGTATATATGTGTGTATGTATGTGTGTGTGTGCGGATACAAATTTTCGTCGACGATTTCGGGAACACCGATTAACCAATTTGAGTAATTCAAAAAACATTTTATTAGTATTGATAAGGAGACGTGCTAATTAGTTTTAGGCAAAGGCAGGTCTAACCGTTCCAAAGATACGGGGCAAAAAGTGTCAAAAACGGTAACTCAGGTTTTAAGAGAACGGAGGGTCCGATTTTAATATTTTAGAAAACATTTTACTTTGATTGACAAGATGAACAACTGATTAAATTTTTGGGAAGGCAGGTATAGCAGTTCCGGAGCTCTAGTAAAAAAGGCATTTGGCGGTCAAAAAGAGATTAGACTCGATTAGTAGAAAAGAGATTGAGATATTCATGTCAAATTATCAGATATTTTATGGAGATTTTAATAATATGTATTAATTTTGTTCATATTTCTATGGGTTCCTTAACATCGTTTGTCCGTTAAGGTGCGTCCACACCTAACGAACGAACACGAACGAACATAAATGAACGTACCAGAACGAACGGCAACAGCATAGTGTGGACGCCACAACGATCACGAACGAACATAAACAAACATGGCGAGCAATGTTCCGCAACTCGTCGGTACATCAAAGGGAATTGTTCGTTCATGTTTGAACTCGTATGTGTAGTGTGGACGCTACCACGAATGTAGACAAACATTTTTCTTTTTTGATGTTAAAATGTGCAGCTAGTTTATGTTGTGTTTATTATAAGATATTGCTGTTATTGACAAATTTTGTGAATTTGATGACTTTAAATAATTTTGCTCTTTCCCGCCACTTTAAATAATAAATCTGACGTTTCACGGTACATCCTCGAACAAAAAGATTCAAGCCCTCACTGCTTTGAGGCGTTTGTTTGGAATTATTCGCGTTCGATCGTGTTCCTGTTCGTTCTTCTTCGTATTTTCTTGTTCGACATGTTCGTTCGTTAGGTGTGGATGCACCTTTAGCGGCGATGTTACGAAACGCGACGCTTTGCGTTTCGATATTTTGTCTCTATGCAGCTAAATTATACTTGTTTATCTAAAGCCGTGCGATTGCTTTGAAAAAAAAGTTCAAAATTTCCAAAATATTTCAAAATAAAAAAATCAATTCAAGAAAGTCTTTTTTTAAAAAAAAAAAAATTGAAAATTTCTCAAAAATCTCTCAAGTTTTCAAAACAAAAAAAAAATTTTTTAAATATTTAATTTTTGGTACGGTATTTTTGATTATTTTTTAATTTTCGGTTTGGTATTTGCTTTAAGGCACGATGTCATACACCACTAGTTATTTTTCGAATGTTTAATTACGGTACGAGAAATTCCAGCAATTTGGTTAAAACCACTTACCACTTATGTTTACTTATCTATGCCACTTACTAATGGATTCACATCCATTCTACTTGCTTATCTATGGTTCTATGATACGCGCGCAAGACTAGACAGGCACGTCTAATTGTGTTTTTGTTTGTATCTATGGCGTTAGAACACAAGATTTTCACTCATTGTTTTCAAAACAAATCGCATTTTATTAATTTAGTTTTAATCGTATCTTTAAATGTTCACTTGAACGTTTGATTATATTTTTAATACCGATAATAAGAAGATTACTTAAGTGATTATTAAGTAATGGAAGGCAGAAAATTACATGAAAAAATTTACGTTGACCGTTGGGAGAAATGTCAAGTAAATAAATTGTTTTCCCTCCGTTTTGATTTAATTTGTATACATTATTTGTCATATAAATATTTAACAGCAATTAAAGTAATTCGTATGAATTTTGATTTTCCAAGCAATTTTATCAACTATTTAGATTCTAAAACAAATTTTTAGACTTGTCATCTTCAATTTCACCAAGATACCAGAAACTTGCATAACATAACCTAAATTAATAAACTATGTATTAATTCGTTTATAACTTATTGTTTTTATTACAGGTTTCAGAATGTTGCTATTTTATGAGTAAATTGCCTTGCAAAACTCCAGAACAACTGAATGAGCAATGGACACATCCAATTTATTCCACAAATGTGAACTTAAAATTCTTGTCAAATTTGACAAGACATTCAGTAAGTAACTTTTAATTGATAACAGATAAATTGATCATCCTGCTTATCCAAAAGAAAATTTAGAAGAAATCAACTCTTGTTACTTATTACCATCTACACAAAGTTTTGTGAATGTAGAGGTGCGAACGAACAAAAGTATCTATATTCTTTATATTTTATATTTATCATTAGTCAGTGTTTGTTGAACCATCAGAGCAGGAACTTAAAGCTACCTGATGTAATTTTATAGTATTTTATGTATCAAGTGTTTAATAAATTAATTAACATTAATCAATTGTCTGTAATCAAATAATAATTTCACATCACTCTCGAGTTAATAAAATAACTAATTTTGAAGTCTAGTAATATTTAAAAGGAGTGAAATAGCAAAACCAGCTATGCATAATTTGGAGTCTTAACATATATATTATTTTTGCTTCTGTTTCTATTTTCAGGTAAAAAGAAATTTGTTAAACCCTTTAACATTTGGTGAACCGAAAAAAATATCTGTTGCTGATTTTGAGTTTACAGTGACTGCCATAGATCCTGATACGTGTACAGGAAAAGTTATATATCACTTTTCTTGTAAGTAATTGTCATTTTGCGTTTTTAAATTTCATGTCCCGACTTAAGGAGGTATTTTGGTCTAGAGGCATGAATTTTATGTGATGTTTGAAAGGCAAAAAATATTCTTCATATCATTTTTTCATACTTCATACCAGTTCTTAATTAATGTTTTAATTAATATAAAAAAAAAGTGGGCGGGTCTCAAAAAATTGGCACCTGACCATGCCCATGATTTTAGCCCTCCAAATAGTCTGAAGAAAAAAACATTTATTATCAATCTAGAATGATGCTCCAATCATATAACAAGTTAAAAGAACTGCTTTTTTTTCACAACATAGAGACTGTCTGAAAGAAAAATATTTTTTTTATAACTTTTCTTGATATTCTCCAATTTCTTAAAAATATTAAAATTCGGAATTCAGGGGTGACTTTATACTGAAGTCTATAAAGAAGTCTCTGTACAAATATCAAACAAATCACTCGAGTAGAAATTAAGAATTTGTGGGTATCATATTGAAAAAGACGGTTTCGAGAAAAACGCATTTTAAAGTTACATCTTGTGGGCATATTTTTGATTAGCTTTGAGAATATGTGAACTAAACAAACTTGATTTTTTAAATCTTAATTAAATCAATTCATTTCAGTTGATGGTACTGAGTGTTTGTATATGGATGGTACTTTGATGTCTCCAAGTGTATTCACAAATCCATATATAACACATTTGGGAAACACTAATATTATTGACACAATTTTTATTGATAGTCCACTTTTAGAGCTGCCTATTGAAATCGATATTGATCTGGTTGTTGAACAAATAATCAATATATTTAGGTAAGATTTAAAACAATTATAAATCAAATGTGTTAGGAATATAAATTTGTATATTGTTCTTTATTTTAGTTCCAGAAAATCTGTTGTGTCCTTAGAAACTTTAGGGATGGAAGACTTGTTAGTCAAAATTGCAATAAAGGGCCATACTATACACATTGGCAGTAAACGATTAAACCTTTTGAAATTGCTGAAGAAAGATACAAACTTTACAAAAGAAAAAAATGTAAATTTAAGAATAGTTGAATCTAATACTTGCAAAGACCTTGAAACATGTTTCAGGTATTTTGATATAATTATTATTCAATATTATAAAATTATCATCAATTATCAGTTTTTCTTTTCATTTTCAGACGTTACAAAGATGATCAAATGCACCACATTCTAGTATCACCTTTTTATTCTTTATTAGATATATATACTTTGCAAAAACTAGGTGTACATGTTGTTCGATACTCAGACAACACTACTTCAACAGCTTTAAATAACATTTTAAAAATAATCAAACCCAAAAATTTAATGGATTGCAATGAGTCAAACCCAAAAACAGATTTATTAATGAACCTTCTATTGATTTCTAGAACTAATTTGAGTTTAGATTCGACTTATCTGCAGAATGCACAAAGATTATCTCTAGCTGGTGCTTTATCAGGGAGTTCAGAAAACGAGAGCCATAATTCAATCGCACTTGTGGCTGATCCTCCTAAAAATATTGAACATTTGTACACTGATACTCAAGAATCGTTTAATCCATTAGCTACAAGCACACAAAAAACTAGAGATGATGAAAATGGTAATTTAACACCTATAGAGAATTCTGAAAACACTAACATAATGCCAATAGAAAATTCATCATTGAATAAACTAGTTAATGAGGGTGATCAGCCAAACAATTTAGTACAAGATATTGTGCTTCATCATTCATTTGAATCGCAACGATATTTAGATGAGTATCAGAAAAACCTATACAGAGGAGACAATGCGATGAGTCAGGACAATATTGTGGCCGAATCCCGCAGCAATCCAAATATTTTACCTGGTGACCTTAGTATCATCAACACCAATTTATCACAGGGCTCGAATGTAATAAAAAAACAAAATGCTGTAGAAACATCACCGGCCCTGGAGGCAACTAATGTTGCTGAACAATTAGCAGTTGATAAATCCTCTGAAAACACTTCACCAAACACCAACATAAGTAAAGATTCATATTTTCAGAACATATCAGATATTAACACCAGCGCAATCGATGCTAATCAATCTTCATCATCAAAATCTTCACAATCTTCACCTGCAGTAGACTTAGCTAAAACTACACAGAATCAAATAGACAAACCAAAAGATCCCTGTGAAATAGAACATGCCCTTGCTAAAATAGTAAGGCAAGTCCAGTTCAATGTAGAATCCAATGAGGTGCACATTATCTCCAATATTGAGATATGTTCAGATGACAGTCAAGACATTCCTAGTTCAAATACGACCAAAACATATCCGATACCAGAAACAGAAGTAAATGAAATGCCTGGTAGCATATTTGCAGAAGTAGATATGGAAACTAGGGACGAAGAATATTATTTGGCACATGGTTTACCACAACATTATGCCTCGTCAAAGGAGACAGACAGTTCATCTGATAGCATTACAATTAATCCTGAGGCAAGTTTTGTTCCGGTTGAACCTGGTGCATTGATAATATCAGAAGTAGAGCACTTGCATTCACAACTTCTAGAGACAAGTGATTACATGGAAGGAACAAGTGAAGACCTTGCAGCAAGTGAATCTAGTCCATCTACAAGTGGTTTGAACCTGCCTATAAGAAGACCAAGCATTTCTTCACCTTCAGATTCCTCTTCCGGGGAGCCAATTAGAGAAGAAAGTGAAAATCAAGTATCAAGTTATTCTTTTCCATCAACGAGTGGATTGAACCTGCGTCCATGTTCAGTATTGTTAAGGAGACTAAACATTTCTTCATCTTCAGATTCCTCTTCTGATCAGGAGTCATTTGTTTTATCCGAAAAGCAAATGATGTTGAAGGCGAAAAATGAAGCAATAAGTAAAAAAATTGAACAAAAACGTGACTTATCAATCATTGATGATCATGAAGATGATAAGCTTGTGTCGGAAAATGGGTTAGAGTTTCTTGATATAAATTGTATAGATATTCAGCAATATATGGATAGTATATTTAGATTTTCTGTTAACTTGAACCTTAACCATCTTAAAAGCAAACTTCAGAAGAACAAAAGGGAGGAAAAGGAAAAGGAATTAATTTTATTTGAATGATTTTGTTGTATGTGTTTTTAATGAAGATTGTATTGTTGAATTAATGATGTATAATTTTATTTATTGCAGTGGTTTGTTGATGTTGAAATATAAATTTTTGTAAATCTGTGAAATTAATTTATATTTTTAATAAATATTTTAATTAAAATGTTTGTTTGATTTTGTTAATTCTATTTCTTCTGTTAACTATTTCAATATAAATTATTGACATCTATTTTGTATTATTATTTCTTTAGTTCTTTTGTATTATTATTTCTTTAGAAAGAACTGTAGTTGTAAGTTGCATTTCATCTTAAGACAAGTTGCGTGAACATCTCGATGTAAATAATATAAAATTAATGTAAAGCTGTTTATTTCGAAAATAAAACTTACGTTTTAATTAAAAATTATTTTTAATTTATATCTCTGAAACATGCTTATAATATCTGTAATTGAATAAATTAAATTAATTTGTTCAATTAATTAATTCACTTCGGATTTTAAAATGTATTTTATTTGAGTATAGACGTATACTGTAATCAGTAGTTACGAAACATAACAGAACTTACAACTGTTTTGCATAGATTCTGATTAGAATCGCTCAAGCTAACAGCGAAATTCTAAACTTTGATGTATATTTAAAATTCAACCGCTTATCATAGGCCGACAATATTTTAGTATGTTATTTCAGACTACGAAATCTTCATTATACAAATCTTCAATAAAATAGTCTTTTTTTTCAACATTTTACTACGAAGAAACGACGCACCCAATCTTTACCAAAACTAATCAACGCTGCGTAGAAACGAAATATCGAAGCGCGTGGGCGCCATGTCGCAGTATAACGGATAAACATTGATACGGAACCCCTAAAAATGTGAACAAAATTTGATTAGATGAATTGATAAGCTTATGTCTGCTTATGATCATTTTTGTCCGCCAAATGCCATTTTCTTCACTTTTTTTCTGATCTCCAAAACCGCTAGACCTGTCTTTCCAAATATTTTATCAGATCTACATTTCAACAATACAAATAAAGTTAATTACCCTTTTTGCACTTTTTTCTCGTATCTTCGGTACGGCTGAACCTAACTTTTCCAAAAACTAATCAGCACGTCTCCTTATCAATACGAATCGAATGTTTTTTGAATTATTCAAATCGGTTGATCGGTGTTCCCGAAATCGTCGATGAAAATTTGTATCCGCACATACATACACACACACGCACACACATACACATACATCAATTTTTTCTAAGGAATGCCAAAATGTTCAGAAACGTTTAAAACGTTAAAGTTATATAAACATTTTCATTTGCGATTGCTGTAACTTAGCGAAACTTATACGGAAAGTTAAATATGGGCTCACATATTACTCATACACACATACTTTTTCCAAATTTTTATTCAATTCAGAATGACTTGAATTGTCAAAATTAAAATTAAATCGGATTTTTTCGCGAAAACGTGAACTTTTTCTTCGGAAAGTTAAACAATAGGCCCAAATCATTGTGTGATCACAATAATTAATCACATCAGTTTCAAGAACAAGTGGCTGTGGCGAGCATAGCTCATTTGGTAGTGTGTTCGATTCACACGACAGGGATCTTTGGATCGAATCCTGTCATTGACTTACAATTAGAATTTATGAAAAAAAAGTGTAGTTAATTTGAAATTAAATGACTGGTGGGGCGCATGGCATCGTGCCTTATGGCAAATTGCTGAAACTTCCCGTACCAAATATTATTTTTTTTTAAAAAAGATTAACATTTTTGGAATTTGATTTAGATTTGGAAAAAAATAACTCTGAAAAAATTAGATTTTTGAGAAACTATAAATTTTTGACAAAAATTTACTTTTTTTGAAAAAAAAAGACTTTTTGAAGAACAATTTATTTTGAAATATTTTGGAAATTCTGAACTTTTCTTCAAAGCAATCGTACTGCTTTAACTGCATAGAGACGAAAAATCGAAGCGCGTAAGCGCCGCGTCGCCGTCTAACGGATAAAACATTGGTACGTAAATAACCCATTGGAATGTAAACAAAATTTTTACTTATTGTTAAAATCTCTATGAAATATCTGATAATTTGATGTGCATATGTCTAATGATCATTTTTGACCGCCAAATGGCTTTTTTTTTTACTTTTTTTACTAGATCTCCGAAACCGTTAAACCTGCCTTCATGAAAATTTGATCAGTTCTTCATCTTCATCTTATTAATACAAGTAAAATATTTTTTGAATTATTCAAATCGGACGCTCCGTTCTCTTAAAAACTAAGTTACCGTTGTTGGCACTTTTTGTCTCATATCTTCGGAACGGCTAGACCTGCCTTCGAAAAAACTAATCAGCACGTCTCCTTATCAATACGAAACGAGTGTTTTTTGAATTAATCTAATTGCTTCATCCGTGTACCTGAAATCGTCGACGAAAATTTGTATCCTCACACACACACACACACATACATCCATTTTTTCTAAGGTATGCCAAAATATTCAGAAACCTTTGAAACATAAAGATATATAAAAATTTGCATCTTCGATTTTTTGCGATTACTATAACTTGCCCTGCGGGAAGTTAAAAATTGTATTTGTTAAGTAGAAATTGAATAAAAAATAAGAAAAATAGGAATTACAGAATTCGAACAGCTGAATTGTATTAGGAGTAGGATATATATAGATTAAATATGATATAAAAATTGGTATAGAATTATTAAATTAAAAAAAAGGATAAGTGGCCACGTAGCCGTCGATTTTTTCATTTAATGAATTTAATAAAAAAATATCTTATGTACTAACCTTTGCAAATTATCTATCTGTTTTCTGTATCCTTCTTTGCAACTTGGGTCACTATGGTAACAATCCACACATTCTTTTTTCTTTAAAGATTCGTTTTCGTCTTGCAGTTTTTTCAAGTCAATTTTATATTGAGTCAGTTGTGCTTCCAATTCACTGATACGAGATTCAAACACGATACTAGGGCCTTCCAACTGGATTTTTTTCGATGGTTTTTCTTTTATCTGGACTGTCTGAAGTGAAAAATATGCATTATTAAGACATTAGAGTAAAGCGGGGCTTAAAGGTCCGCGAGTAAAAAAATCCACCACCATTATCTAAGAAACAATTTGTGTATAAGGCGAAGCCTATATCACACGAGATGAAAGGCCACATGGTAAAATTTTTAACGAAAATATTTGTTTTTTATTACTAGTCTTTTGGTTTTGAGCATGGTTTACTAGGGAATGCAATACCGATGGAAAATTTTAATACCGGTATTTCGGTAATTTTTCATTTTAAAACCGGAATGCCGGTAAATTACCGGTATTTTTATTGTCTTAAACAAACTTAAAATTGAAAGTTACTAGTACGCATATAAAAAAATGTATATACAACTACAACTATATTCAACTAAACAATAAAAACAATAAAATAAACTAATAAGTTTATTTTTTTAAATAATAATTTAACAAAATTATATCCAATTTAATTAATTCATTATCACTATCGAGTATATTGAGTACTTTTCACCAAAAACAAACTTATGAGTAAGAAAGACCAAAAACTCATAAAAGATCATATTACATTATTGTAATAAACTGTATTGTCTGTATCCGATGTGTTAAATTAGCATAATCTCCAATATTTTAAAAAATATTTTCTATAGTATTTTCAAACTTCAAAACGTTTTCGAGAAATAATATTTTATAATTGTAATAAGAAGCAAAAATATTTAGTAATTATCATAATTATTATGTATAAAGTTAGAAAAAAATAAAGATTACGCAGAGGTAATCTGTATGATGTCACTAAAAAAAACGTTACATTTTTACATAAGATGAAACAAACATCATTATCTATCAGTCCAATTCTATTTATTGTAACACGATATGAAGCCCTTTGGAAAGCAATAAATATTCAGTTTAATCACGAGTTGTGATAATATTTGACATAGGTTTATCCTATAGAATCACTTGAAGATATAGCTGTTTATGCGATTATGGAAGTTAAAGATAAATTTGTTCCGAGAAATTTAAACTTTAGTGTATTATGTATCAAATAGGACTTATGTAAAAATACCGAAAATACCGGTATTTTTGGGGTAAATACCGATAAAAATACCGCCGAAAAATCGGGCGGTTTACCGGTAATTCGGTATACCGGTATTGCATTCCCTACGGTTTACTATGTGTTTAGTTAACGATGCATGAATTAGGGGTAATGCTACAAAAGTTTCAAATCAATATTATCAATTCATGATTTGTTCAAACTGTTTCTAACCTGTTTCAGATACATTAAAGCAAACCGAAAGCAGTGAAATGCTTTCAATTTGCTAAACAAAGGTTGCCATAATATCAAAATAAAAGAGCACAATACTTTAGATTTGAATCAGAAATTTAGATTTTGTAGTTTTGTAACTTTAACTATATATTATGTAAATGTTGTAAGATTGACTTCATTGGAAGTTGTATGGAGTATTATCTTTGTCAAAAATGTGCCCATGGAATATTGTATTTCAAACAGAAGTTTTATTTATCTTATTTGTAATAAATATAGAGAAACAATGAGAAATACTATCTTCTTGCCCCCTGTCTGCAACTTTTTATTGGATAAAATGAATTTGTCTATGATATAAAAAGGACCAAGTGACATCTTGTAGAAAAATAGCAAAAAACATATTTCTACAGTTCAATAGTTATTTGTTTAATATTTGTTGTTATGTCGTACCCTACGCTAATTATTCTAGTATATTAATTATTTAAAATATTACCTTGGCATCTGATTCATTAGAATCTTCAGTCTCTGAATCGTGTATATTATCGAAAATGCTACGAATAAATCCATCCTTTTGCTTTTCGTGCAAAGATTCATTTTCGCTTATCACGTCTTTGACTTTACTCAACAGTCCTGATAATTCATCCTAAAATATAAAAAATATATAAGTAATTTCAATGCTAAATTAACAATCTGTAGAAAAAAGACTTTCATCAAAAGTCAATGTTCAATTTTACTTTAATTAGTTAATTGACACTAAGTAAACGACAAGTAATGACTGCATAATTCTTTTTTTAAGTAGATTAGCATTTTTATATATACTAATTTGAAAAATTAAAAACTAATTAGACTTTTCATAACAAAGGGCTTTCAATGCAATTTCCAATTTATATTATAAACATAAATCCATAAGAGTGCGACTATTATTCCAAACTTTAATAAGTATTATTAACTGAACAATTTTTCATAGTGGCTCAATATTTTAGGATGTTCGTTAAGACTATGATCTCCACTATCATACGAGGCTTCACCAATAATGTCAAAACCAAATATTCAACCGTTAATTAAGAAGAAACGTCCCGGAAAATCGTTACTAAAAACTAACCAGCACATTTTCCAACTGATGCCTTCGAATGGATCTTGAAATTTTTGACAAAGAAACGTTCCGGACGATCGTTACTCAAAACTACTCAGCACGTTTCCCAACTGATACCATCGAACGGATCTTAAATTTTTTAAAATCTGTTCAGGATTTTTGGAGAAAACCTGGATGTAATATTTTGCACTTATCTGCTAATTATAAAGTCACGGTTTTTAAGTTTTTGAAATGGTGCAGTAATGGCGCAATAGTACTAAGAAAATATCGACGAAAAGTTAAATTTTGGCTCAAATACACACACTCAATATATATTTTCTGGCAAAATCATAAACTCCTTTTATTGTTTACTTTCAAAAAATCTCCTAAATGTCTTCAAATCAAATGGATTTAAGTTTTTGAAATCTGAGTAGTCATGGTGCAATAGTTACTGAGAAAATGTCGTCAAAAAGTCAAATATTGGCTCAAATACACACACTCAATACATATTTTCTGGCGAAATCATAAACTTTCTATAATATATTTACCCTGCAATACTGTGATTCCCTCTCTAGTTGTTCAATATATTCCTCTTGTTTCTCAATAAAGGTCATCAGTTCCGGAGGCGCCTTACTGGTATCAGTTGAAAACTTTCCATCTTGAGATGCAGCATCAACTTAAAAAAAATAACATCAAAATTTCAATCAAAATTCTTAATTGAAACAAAAAACAACTCACTATTTGTGGCAGGGCTGCTGGTTGTGATTTGATTATTCAACGTCGGTCTAAGTATGTTAACATTCTCCTTAGATAAAATAGGATATCTCCTTGAAAGTCTGCTTCCACTAAAAGTCCTGTAAGGATATCTATCGATACCAAGGAAAGATTTATCATCGGTTTCTTCTCCAGAATCAGCAGGGGTGTACTTCGATCTAACAGGACTATAGTTTTCGTTCATCAGATATCTAAGACGAGTCACGGCTTCCCTATAGGCGAGATCCGTGTAATTCGGAGTACGCTTCTTCAGGTAGTCCATTTTTGGTGTCCCGTTTATACTGGATCCATAATAATTGGATGTCTGTTTTCTAAAATAAATTACATTTGTTAGAGTAATGAAATTTAATGCAAATTTATATAAAACATATAATTGTATTAAAATTGATCATTATGTATCTCACACGATATTGTCAATTATATTTGATGAATTTATGAATTTATTATTATCAGTGACAATCAGCAATAGGCTCATATTGCAAACGAAGGTGTCTATTATTTGATCATATAATGTTCTGTATCGAATAAAGCAATTTTATTTAGTGCTTTTTTCTTTAGTCTGTTATCAAAATAACAAAATATAGTATATTGCAATATTATTTTAAAAAAATCATATTCTGGAATTAAACAATAGCTTTAAAATTGTGTCAATCATGATTAAAAAGTTCAAGAAAAATTAAATGAAAAAATTGTGTTGATCATATTTCTTACATACATTTTAAGAGCCCATATAAAAATATTGAAAAAAAAATTAAACGTAAGAAAATATATATATTCTTTTAACACGTTTAAAGAAAACAGATCAAAATGATTTTCCAAGTAAATATGTAAGTACATTTTTGTTTTATACAAAATTTTATTAAATCAGCACAATAATATTAATTTATAATGATTCATTTTTATTACAATATTAAAATAATGTTTACTTAATGTAACATAAAATATCCCAGTAAACACGCGACGTTATTACAACGTTGTGTCGATATCGCATTTGTGACATGAGATATCGCCGCCACATGGCCGCCACCAAGTCATGGATATAGAAATAATGAATAATTATGATTAGAATATGAATTTATTATTATAGCTTAGAATGATTATTTCAGAAATAATTATAAGAAAGATGTATTAAAATATAATTACATACAAAAAATTCCGGTTTGCTAATTTCATGCTGTCTCGACGTTTTAAGCCATTCTTAATCGTTCGAGACCACATTTGGAAAAAAGTTGTATGTATGGTTGTGTGAGTAAAAAATTCTCAGCCGCCTTTAAAAGATATCCCTTGGAAAACGATTCTGTCGTTTCTTGGCGATTTGAATGAATCCTTGTATGGCAATAACGTTAACAAATGATATAATTAAATGAACAATGATAATGTTTGAATTAATGCTGTATGTATTAGTTATTCAATAATGTTAAAATATGCTAAAATTTGATAAAAATTAGTAACTTGTTTGAAAAATTCCGAAATAATTGAATAATTTGCAAATATTTCTCAAGTTCTATATAGTTCTATAACAACTCGGTGTACTTACAAATTACTCGTAAATTAATTAATATAATGTTTTCTTGTTGATTAAGGCGATTATTGTTACACATGTCAGAAATCATGCAACTTGCCTTGGCAAATAGCGAGTAATACCTAGTTTTGAAATAATCCCTTTTAGCAATTATTACAAATAATTATAATACGTTTTAGTAAAAATAAATGTAATATTTAAAAGCAATAAAATCAAATTAAGGGGCCCAACTAGTGTGAAATTTTCAAAAAATCGAATTTTCAATTTTTCCATACTTCGATAGGTTATACCTTTAAAAATAACATACCAAAATTTCAAATCGATATCTTGAATAGTTTTTGAGTCACACCCATTTAAAAAGTATATATATAGTATATATAACGATCATTTAATCTTTGAACGCGTTTTTCTCGAAACAGCATTTTCCGAATTTGCTGCAGCGATTACTCAAAAATAAATGATCCGATCACTATCAAATTTTTGTACATGTTCTATATATAGTTCTCCGTAAAATGAACTATCGATTTTTTGATCAGATCAAGAATCGAATTTTGGCAGTTCAAAAACGACCAAAATTTTGGGTAAAATTCGACTTTTTTTAAAAAAAAACTCCGTCATTTTGTCAATGTTTGATTATTTCATTCATTTTACAGACAATATTATCTAGTTTAACGATTTTTTTTTTAAATTTCATCCACGCCGGAATCACTGCAGCAGTGAAGGGCCTTTTTTTGTCGCGCCGTTGGAGATCGACGATAACTTAAAAAATATTTATTTTTTTTCTTCAAAAATTTTACTATGTATTCTTAAAACATGTATAAATATATTCCTGAAATTTTGAAATGATTAATAAAGTAGTTTTTTTTTAATATAAATTACCAAAAATCACCTTTTTTAAGCGGTTACACTAGTTGTGCCTCTTAAGATATTTATATATGAAATACAAAAATTATTTAGTTAACACTATTTATTTAATACTTTACACTTTTATGTATTTACAACTAGTAAATACATACTTTTAATGAGAATATGTATTTAATCAACAATAACATTATTAAAGATTTTTTTGAAAAAAAAATTATAAACATTAAATAATTATATTGATAAAAAAAATTAAATATAATTAAAGTTATTTATTTGAGTTTGAGCGTTTTAGAGTTTTTTTCACCTTAGAATATAAGTATTTTTTTACACAATTTGTATATAAAAAAAAATCCGAATTATATTCTTAACTACAATTTTCCACAACTTTTGTTTATACCAGTAACTTTTATCATTACAATCAAACATTTACCTCCAATCACAATATATAACCATATTTATACAAGATGAGCAATATTCATAAAAAATAATTTCAAAAACTGAAAGAACATTATAATATCATGTCGGTCCATGTTTAATAATAATCGTTGTTTATAAGTTGTTTATAAACACTCATATTAGAGTAAATCGATTACAAACTAAATTACATTCTTTGTTTTGACGCAGTTGCATTGGATGTAACCTAGCGACGGTGTCGGAGGGTAGAATATTGTTTCAGGCGCATGTTGACCCTTGGACGATTAGGACGATCGCGTTAATTTTACGACTTTGAATGAAGAAATAACTATGATAAAATATAATTATTAACTTCCTGTAGGAACTCTAACTGAACAAATTATTTATTTTCTTAAACCAGAAAAAGCTTATACTCAAAGTGAAGAATAAGATAAAAAAAGAAGAAGAAGAAGAAGATTTTTAAAAAAAACGATGCAAAAAAGATGTAGAAACGTTTGAAAATTATGACTCCCGTGAATAAATTTAGTTACTTTTTTATAATTACCACCTTTATTTTTATTTTACCGCCTTTATGTTATTACAACCCAAATACAAAAATATTATTTTGCAAGTGTTCCGAAACAAACAAAATTACAACAGACCCGTGAAATAGGGAAACCACGTAAAAAAACGAGCTAAGCACACTACCTCTTGGCGTTTAAACGTACTTTTCAAAGTATATCTTTAAAACGATGGCTCTGATCAAAAAAGTATTCATGCATTTTTTGAGTCTAATTTTATGTTATACAATATTGTCTCAGGTAATTTTGCGATTTATTTAGCTAAAAATCATTTTTTTACCTTTGACCTTGTGCCATTTTTTTAGCTCGCATCGAATCGATGAGGACTTTTGAGATTTCTTTTACAATTGCATTTTAAACAATTTTGTTAAGTTAAAGCCCATTATGATTTATAGTAACCTCGAATGCCTAAATTGACCGGGCTATATTATAATCGTCCAAAAACCGAAATTAAAAGTTTTTGCATATCTTGCGTTTCAAATGGCTCGAATTTCTGAGAAAATATCTACAAAAAATCATGTTTAACTTCCCGTATGTTATACAATATTGTCTCAGGTAATTTTGCGATTTATTTAGCTAAAAATCATTTTTTTACCTTTGACCTTGTGCCATTTTTTTAGCTCGCATCGAATCGATGAGGACTTTTGAGATTTCTTTTACAATTGCATTTTAAACAATTTTGTTAAGTTAAAGCCCATTATGATTTATAGTAACCTCGAATGCCTAAATTGACCGGGCTATATTATAATCGTCCAAAAACCGAAATTAAAAGTTTTTGCATATCTTGCGTTTCAAATGGCTCGAATTTCTGAGAAAATATCTACAAAAAATCATGTTTAACTTCCCGTAGGGTAAGCTATTGTAATCGTTCAAAAATCAAAATTGAAAATTTTTGCATTTCTCGACGTTTTGAAGAATTCTGAACATTTTGGCATACCTCAGAAAAAATGAATGTGTGTGTGTATGTATGTATGGATACAATTTTTCGGTCACGTTTTCGCGCGCATAGATCAACCGATTTCAATGGTTCAAAAATCATTCGATTCCTATTGATAGGGAGATGTGCTGATTAGTTTTTGGTAACGGCAGGTTCAGCAGTTACGGAGATAAAGAGCAAAGAGTGCAGTAAATAGAAATCGAGTTTTTGAGAGATCGGAGCATCCTATTTGAATGATCTAAGAAACATTCAATTAGTAATGATTGGGAGAAGTGGTTATTAGTTTTTGGCAAAGGCAGGCCCAGCCATTTCGAAGATACAGAGCTAAATGTGCAAAAATGGCAGTTTTTGAGGGAACTAATCGACCGATTTAAATGATTCAAAAAACTTTCTGTTGTTTTAACAAAATAATTGATTTTGAAAAAAAATGTTGGAATTTTTTTTTTCCAGAAAAAATTTTTTTGGCGAAAATAAGTCAGATTTTATTTTTATTTCTGACTAAAGTTTTAATATACTTTAAACAAATGATTTCAACTTTGCCATTCAGTTTATATAATTCTTATAAATATTAGACAATGTTACAATATTTATAATAATCTATCTGAAAACATTCAATAGTCCTTGATCATTTCGTTACGGTACGGGAAGTTCCAGCCTTAAAGCACGATGCCACTTGTTCAAATTTAGACTTGGATTAAAAATAACTTGAAACGTCAAGAAAATATAATATTAGCCAATCAAAGATTTTTGTTAAAACAATTGCTGAAAACAAATTTCTCCTTTGGGAAGTTACAAATATTTTAAATTATTTAAAAAATCGACCGGTCGGCATAAACACAAAACTAAATGACGCGATTTCAAACACACATTTTCTTAACGGTTTTTACATTTCAAAAATCGCTCTACAATTTTTTCGGAAATGTAGATACAAAATATTTCTCTACTGCTAACTAGAAAAAACTTCTCCATCTTTTATAGAAAAACTAAATAGAAGTTAAAATTAAGTCAACCTAAATTATCGAAACTAAAAATGCCACACAAAGGAATAGAGTGCGTGAATATAGTTTTTAACATGAAATGAACTTCATTTTGCAAGTTAATAAACAAGTTGATAATCCTGAATTAAAAAATAAGTATTAAATTTATATTATCAAAATAAGCATTAAATTTAAACCCTCTCCTCTCAATTCAGGCCATCAAAACCTTCCACAAATTTTACAATTAAAAGTACCATATCTTTGTTAAATTATTATTATTTTGTTAAAATTGACATTATAAATAATACCATATTCATTTTAATTAATTAAATCATGAAATCTCACGAAATGATTCTACTTTTCCAATGAACGGAATAAACCATTCATTAAAAAAGTAGAATCCTTTAGTGAGATTTTTATATAAACAATTGTTTATTCATTTGTTATAAAAAATATGAAACAAGTAAATAAATTACCTTGATCTGGATTTTTTCGGTTTGCTATCTTTGTCATAGAAGTTTGTGCTGAACCCTCCTCCGCTCAAGACACTTTTTGGTGACCTCAAACTCGAGTAACTTGACCTCAGTGCTCCCAATTTAGGCCTGCTATAAGTGCTTCCATTGGTACTACCCAATTTCATCTTACGAGAAATTTTGTGAAACTATTTATCAAAATATTTCTATTTATTTGAACAATAACAAAGGATGTATAAAAAGATCCGTTTCCTTCGAAGGACTGTTGTGTAATGAAGAAACGCCCACAGAAATGCGCATCAAATTTATAACCTCGGATGTTGAGTAATATTGGTGAGTCGATACAAAAGTTAGGACTATTTTCCGGTAAGGAAAAGGACATACTTCCTGAAATGTAGTTGTATTGATACAATATCATGTTTACGTTATTGCAATATAAATTGATGATTATATATAGATTTATTGCAGTAATAATCGATACTTTGATATACAATAAAATTACTTGTATCATATATCCATTTTAGAATTCTATATTTATTATTTATTTATCTTCATTTAAAATATAGCTTTGGCTTCATACTCATACTTACCCTATTTAATAATTCATCTAAAACAATATTATACTTTGTTTTTGCATCACTAAATCTTGAAAAACACAGATTCTCTGCTTCTTAATGCAAAGATCTTAATAAATCAATCTCATAAATAACAATTTGTCTTTGCAAAATATTACTACAGTATCTTGATCATTTATTATTTTGCTATTAGGTACTTTAAAAGGTACACCATTAGGTACTTTGATAAAATCAGAAATAAAGTCAATTTTACACAAAAAATGATAAATTGCATTTATGTTACTTAGTTTGATTATCTGTAACCTGCAACTACCCCAGCATAAAGAACTTCAAGTTTGATAAAATCTATCAAAATAATTTTGATAAATTTAGAAAATTTTGAACACTTTTTTCACCTACATATAAGTTAATTTGTTTCCTGTCTGAGCAGCAGTTTTTTTCCTTTTTTATAAAAAAGTACAAGTACCATACATCTAAGAGCAACATAAAACCTCAAGTTACTTGATAAATTCATTTACACACATAAAAATATTTACACACAAATCAGTGAGTTACACTCTGATATTGCCTTCCATGAACACTTAATAGTTATTAGAAAAGACAACCATTGGGTTGTCTTCTAATGAAAAAAATGGAACACTTGGGACAACCATTGGGTGCTCCTAAAAAGCGGAGTAGTCGGAGAGAATAATCATCAATGACTGTTTTTTTAAAAAAAAATGTTGTGCAATATAATATCAATGGTAATATTTATAATATGATGAGTTGGATAAATATTTCTTCAAATATAAATTAATTATATGACACTATTTGAAATTATAAGTTCAATCAATTATAATCAATTACTATAAAAGTGTCTACCAATTCAAAGAAAATTATCACCTTTGTCACAGCCCCATAAGATTTGTTAAATTATAAACAAATTTTTAGAACATTGTTGTAACAAAAATTGATACAAAACAAATCATCACTACGAATATTTTGGATTATCATCAGATATTTTCGTAATTACTTGTATTATTACTATGCGTGGTCGCCGCATAGTGCCAAGCCAAATTGCTAGAACTTCCCGTACCAAAAATAAAAATGTTTAAAAAAGCTTTAATTTTTTTAAAAAACTTTGAAAATATTAGATTTTTGAGAATTATAAAATGTTTGAAACAATTCGAACTTTCTTTTTATATCATGCATTTTTTGAAAATTTTGAACTATTTTTGAAAGCGCTCTTTAGCTGTTTAAGAGGCAAAATAACGAAGCGCGTAAGCGCCTCATCTCAGTAATGGGTAAACATTAGTACGGAACCCATAGAAACATAAACAAAATTTGCACTTTGATCTCGATATGATAAATTGTCATTTTTGGCCGCCAAATGGCATTATATTACATTTTTCATTGTATTTTCCTGGATTTTATTAGAAACCTGCTAGGCCTGCCTTTCAACAAATTTAATCAGTTCTTTATTTCATCAATACAAATAAAATATTTTTTGAATCATTCAAATTGAACGCTCTGTTCTCTCAAAAACTGAATAGCCATTTCTTGCACTTTTTGCCCCATAACTTTGAAACGGCTGGATCTGCCTTTGCCAAAAACTAATCAGCACATCTACCCGTCAATATGAGTCAAAAGATTTTTGAATCATTCTAACCGGTTGATCCGTGTTACATCCATTTTTTCTAAGTTATACCAAAATGTACAGAAAAACCTTTGAAACGTAAAACTGTATACAAATTTTGATTTTTGATTTTTTTGTAATTACTAACTTATTATAATATAACTTACATATCATTCAGAAAAAATCATACCAGAAAGAACACTAAAGAAATAATTTTTTAAAAATTATTTTTTCCTCAATAAACATGATGTATGGCCAAAAATCTACTGCTATGCGATGGATGTCTATTTCGATTTTGTTTTTTTTTATTATTAATTTTAATAATAAACTCCGTCTCCTGTACAATTTATATCTAGATTAACGATGTAAGTTTAGTAACACAATTTTTAGCAAATATTTTTTTATATTTTTTATAATAATTGAGTTAAATTGAAACGAATGACCATCAGCATCATTAATATGATTCATGAAACTGCTCGAAAACTAAAATATTTTTTTTAGGATTATGAACTGTTTCTCGAAGTCAAATTTGTAAATATCAATTTAATGAATTGCAAAATTATAAAATAAATGGAAAAATGTTTATTATGATAAAACGTATGTCGTTTTCCGACCGAGTGCTTTCCGTCTGAAGCTCTCCGTGCATGGCAGTATCAGTTGCGTGCCATAAGATGTTAAGTTGACTGACTCCGTTCAGATTCTTAATATAGCATGAGCTTTCTAAAGAAATATCCAATATAAGTACGCAAGTACAGGGATTCGGAAAATTATCAAATATATTACTGAAGAAAAACAAAAATTTACAAAAAAAAATCAATATAAGAAAATCGACGTCCATCCAAACGACTTAGCCAGCCGAGTGTACTCGTAAAGCCAACCTACCAGACTGTACTTGTATGCTTCCAAATAACCAATATTTGATCTCATTTAGTTGCTTTTTTTTTCTTTACTATTCTAATATTTTTCTATACACATTTTCGTCGATGATTCTGCACCATGGATCAATCGATTTAAATAATTCAAAAATACATTCGATTTGTATTGATGCAGAGACGGGTTGACTAGTTTTTGGCAAAGACAGGTCCAGCCGTTTCGATGATACGCGGCAAAAAGTGCAAAAATGCAACACACTTTTTAAGAAAACGGAGCGTCCGATTTGAATAATTCGAAATGAAAAACTGTATAAATTTTTGGATTCATCGGTTTCGGAGATCCAGTAAAAAAGTAAAAAAAGATGTTATTCGGCAGTCAAAAATGATCATTAAACATATGAACATCAAATTATCTGATATTTTATAAAAAACATTTTAAGTACAATTTTTGTTTACATTTCTATAGGTTCGTACCAACGTTTATCCGTTAGATCGCAACGCGGCGCATACGCGCTTCAATCGACTTTAAAACAGTCGCGCCACGCGATTGCTTTAAAAAAAAGTTCAAAATTAAAAAAAAATTCAAATTCTTCAAAAATCCTTTTTTAAATTTACAAATTATCAAAAATATATTTTTGTAATCAGCAAATAAGCGCAACATTTTTGTCAAAAATTTTGCAACATTTTGGAAAATTCAAAACACTGTTTAAAACATATCATTAGGAAATCGTGATGATTAGGTTCTGTCTGGTCCTTTCTTCGTAATAGTTGAAAAAAATTGATAATACTTGGCATCATGGTCTCAAAGATTATCTTAAAACTAGTGGTGTATGGCATCGTGCCTTAAGGCAAATTGCTGGAACTTCCCGCAACGAAATGTTCGAAGAATATTAAATGTTTTCAAATAGATTATTATAAATAATGTTGCATTGTTTATAAGATATTATTTATAAGGGTTTATTTATAAGAATTATATAAACAGAAATACAAAGTTAAAATTATTTATTTAAAATATGTAAGTGAGCTTAAAGAACTTCAGCCAGAATTAAAATTAAAATTTGAAAAAAAAAACATTTTAAACAATTTTTTTTAAAAAGCAATTATTTTGTCAAAACAAGCAGAAAGTTTTTTGAATCATTCAAATCGGATACTAAAAATAGGCGCTTAGAATCGCATTAATTAGTTTTTACAGAAAGGTGAAATCTTTAACTTCTTGTAAAAATTTTATCATGGCAAGTCGCCAAATTTAAATTCTTATTGATTCAGTGAATTAGTTACACAAACCGGAAAGTTCATGCTACCTGCCTTAAGACAAAATGCCACTTACACCTAGTTGGAAAAATTAAATAAAAATTATCACCTAGTTGAAAAACTTTTGTGAGATATTCGATTTAATTTTTATATAATAAAAAAAAATTTAATTTGGCAAATTCATTATTGCAAGAAAGAAAGTTGGACAACCCCTTAAATATTTTTGACTATTATTGCATAGATTTAATTTTTCGATTTTTATTTGATAAACGATTTGATTTTATATCCTGTATAATTGATAATTCTGACTTTAGTAATAGACAGGTACATAAATGCAGCGATTTCGAATCGTAAGAAAATTCAAAATCAGATGTAATTTAAAATGGGATGATTTTAGTTCAAAAATTAATTATGATAAATTGATAAAAATGAATCTTAATATAATAAAATAAAATATTTGAAAATATTCCTACAAAAAATACCCTAGTTTAAAAATATTTTAGTACTTTTTACTTTATTAACTTCCCGTAGGGTAAGTTATTGTAATGGGCTGAAAATCGAAATTGAATATTTTTGCATTCCTCGACGTTTTGAAGGTTTCTGAACATTTTGGCATACCTCAGAAAAAAATGGATGTGTGTGTGTGTATAGATTCAAATTTCCAGTCACGTTTTCGGGCGCACGGATCAACCGATTTGAATGGTTCAAAAAACATTCGATTCCTATTGATAGGGAGAAGAGCTGATTAGTTTTTGGCAAAGCCAGGTCCAGCCGTTTCGGAGATACGGAGCAAAGAGTGCAGAAAATAGAAATCGAGTTTTTGAGAGAACGGAGCATCCGATTTGAATGATCTAAAAAACATTCAATTATTAATGATTGGGAGAAGTGTTTATTAGATTTTAGTAAAGGCAGGCCCAGCCATTTTGAAGATACGGAGCCAAATGTGCAAAAATGGCAGTTTTTGAGAGAACTAAGCGTCCGATTTAAATGATTCAAAGATCTTCCTGCTTGTCTTAACAAAATAATAGATTTTGGATAAAAAAAATTTTGTTTCAACTTTTTTTTTCAATTTTTTTTTTCAAAAAAAAAAATTTGTTTGTATATCGAAAATAATTCAGATTTTATTTTTAATTCTGACTATAGTTCTAATATACTTTAAACAAATAATTTGAACTTTGCAATTCAGTTTATATAATTCTTATAAATATTAGACAATGTTACAATATTAATAATAATCTGTTTCAAAACATTCAGTATTCCTCGAACATTTCGTTACCGTACGGAAAGTTCCAGCAATTTGCCTTAAGGCACGACGACATACACCCAACTAGTTTATTTTTTTACTTTAATATATATTTAATAGAATAATACGGCTCTGATTCAATGATCCGATGAAAAGTTTTGTAATCAAATAGCTGTCAAGCTACAAACCTATCAGTATTTTACAAACCATTTGCAAAATCTTATTATTCGATTTCACAATATGTGTAGATGATAGAATATGTCTATCACGTTGTAGAATTCAATTTTTAAGGGCTATGAAACTTTAACTTTAATAAAACAAAATGGTATATGGCAATGATCTTTGAAGTAAATTTGCTGGAACTTCCTTATTCCCAATAAAAACGTGTAAATATAAATAATAAATAGTATTGAAATTTGTAGTTCATATGAAAATAGTATGGATCAAAACGAAGAAAACATAATTATTACGTTAAGGGCATATAAAAAAATTATCTATTTTAAAACTGTGAACTGAGTTTTCAAAATTTAAAACATAGAGCTCATGTATAAAAAAATACATAACGGCTGTATCTTCTATCACCAAATTAAATATTTTTCAAAAATCCAATTCAAACATACAAAAATTCAAGTTGTACATGACGCATAGAGAAATCCAATTTTTAAATAATTCCAAAATGAACAGAAAATCCGATAGATAAAATTCAAACGTACAAAGATTTCAAAAAAATGCTATTATTTTTTACAATTTCATTAATTTTACACGCGCGAAACATAATTTTAACACAGGGGTATCACTATTAATTACCCTATCAAACTATAAATTAATATGTAACACTATAAATTTATAGTACCAAAGGGTTAAAAAAATAAAAAAAAAATACATATTAAAATTATGGTTTTACGTCTTTCTAACAATTTAATAACCGCGTCCTTAATACAGCTATTAATATTATTAAAGCAATTACATTTCTACTAATTCCATTGTTATTGATAAATGCTGTATCATATCTAATATAAAATAGTAAAAATTTAGTATAATATATCAATATGAGAAAAGATCTATTAGATATAATACATCACATAAACTAACTCTTATTTTGATGAACAAGGTTTTGCAAAAATCAGCTGATAAACAAATTTACAACTTAATTTTTGTATTTTCATATTCAGTCAAAACATATCTACTCCATTAATAATAATCAGAAAATAATGATGAATGATGAAATTATTTTAAATTAATGATGATAAAAAAACAATTTTAAGAATTTCTAAAACCAATTTATTTTTCAGCATCATTTTCCTCAAAATTAAATCTAAATGTATTTTCTGATGGAGTAAATTTAAAATTATTTGTTTTTGATGTACTTATCGTTTCAGATGGTTCTTCTATTTTTTCAACTGTTCCATCATCAACTGCATCTTCCTTCAATTGAAAATTAAATTAAAATCACTTGTGCTGGTTAGTAGAGCACTTTTTTTGATAAACACCGATGATTTATTTGGTTTATTCTTAAATTTAATTTGTTGAGTAACTGGAAAAAAATTATAAAAAAACATACATTACATTTATATTTATAATTAAATTAAATTAATAATTAAATATTAATTCTGGTAGTGCGTAAACATTGCACACAATATTAAAATCTCTATAATACCAAAATAGAATAGCAAAAAGTACTTATAATTGATAAATAATAAGTAGTTAATTATCTAATACTAGTGAAACATATTTTAGTCTTAAATTTTTTTTTAATTTTGTTGAATGAAGTCTAGCACTATCGAAACAAATGGATTTTATAATATATTTTTAAAGAAATTCATGTATTTTATGATTAATTATTAGAGTTTGTCAATACATCTTACAACATAAAATTTAGAATTATACAATATTAAATTATTTCTCATATCAATAATAAAGTTTTGCATATTTAAGTAAATTAATACAAAAGAAAATATTCTACAGTTTCACCATTAAGGATTTGAAGATAATTGAAGCTGGTAAAACTATAATATTTACAGATAGATTCCATCCAATAGTCGGTTTAGTACGATTAATTTGCATCCTGTTTAAAATTCGCATATCAAAGCCAAAACATTTATATTTGATAAGATAAATTAATTAAAAATATTTGATATTTCTAAATTAAATTGGATCAATTGACACGAAAGTAAAAGATAATAACAGTGATTACTCCTACATTTTAAACTATCCAACATTTAGATTTTTGTACAAATCACATTAAAATAATAAATACTATTTTACTTATCGGCTATCATTAGGAGAAATGAACAAAATGGAATAGTTATATGGACAAAGTGACACAGTGGCCTTATTTAAAAATTGGCTAGATTTACTAACGTTGCCACAATTGCATAATGTTGAGAAATTCATAATTACAATCTTATCAGATGTTGAAAGTCATTGTCACAGTCTAGTCCCAGTAATCCGTTCAAAAGAGAATTGAGTAAAAACCATTATCACCTTCAAATAAACTTCAAAAATTTATTTTGACGGTGATAGCAGTTTTGTCATGTTTTTTGGGACCTTAAATGATGTTATTTGTAATTATATCCGTTAAAATCAATGAATTTATGCCAGTCCTAAGATTTCAATCATCAGGTGTTTGATAAAATTTTGATTTTTTGTTCATTTTTGTACAAAACGGCATATTTATACAATGGTCAAAATGACATGGTACTATTTTGCAAGAGCTACAGTTTAATTTATTACAGGCCAAGAAAAAATAAAATTAAAACCTGTTAAAAGTGAATGATTTCTAAATTTTTCTCTTGAAATTTTACTTTTCACTTTTTCACGTCTTTTTCCCTTTAGGCCCATGGGTTATATGCTGATGTACCAAAAAGAACCGAACAATTTAATTGAAACCTGTCTTCTTGAAAATTACCCTTAACTTAAATGTAGTTTTGTCCATACTTTATGTACAAAAAGGTTTTTGTAATTAGTTGCATATATTCTTAATTAAAAGATTATGTTATTGGTTGACAATGAATCTGTTATCAGTAAAAATGATTGTGACTGATTATCATTATAAAAAATAAAACAATGTCATTTTGTCATACTTTCCCTACTGGTACAACTATATGGTAATATAAAATTGTGCATATAAATTTTATCTCTACTTAAATATATACTTATATTTACAATTACCTTTTGATAACTTTTTCTCTTCCTCAGCCATTTTTGCTCGATAATCTCCAAATGTGAGATTCATAATCTGCCGTTTCTTTATTATAGGTTGTGAATTATTTTTTAAAACATTCAAGGCTTTTATCGATTCTTTAGCTAAAATAAAAAATATATTTGAAATATAAAATAACTTATCAAATAACAAATTGCCAATCTTGGTCAAATAACTTACTGCGAGCAGGATTTAACTTATTTTCAGCAAGTAAAGATTCTAGTTGTTGAATACACCAAAGTAATTCAACTTCGAAAGTATTATTTGTGGCATCAGAAGACGTAGGATTCTCATTAACTATTTTCGGAGGCGCTTTTAGTTTAACATTTGCTTTATTTTTATTCAATTTACTATTTGTTGACATACTTTGAGCCTTGAGAAGAAATTAATAATATTGCATGTAAAATATGAATACAACATAAACTTATGGAATTGATTATCAAATATAAGAATATTTAACTTAATTTATAACTTGGTAATTGAATAAAAGATCCAAATAACATGAATTTTGTCTAAAGCATCATGTACATAATTTTTAAATTAACATAACCTCACTTTCTGGCACATGTTAAAAATTGACACATCGAGCTGTCACTTTGACATTGGGCGTGCAACAAATTTAATCATTTTATTAAATTCAATCAAATTCTTAAATATAAAGAAAAAAATACAGTATTCATAGCCAGTATTAAAATATTCCGAAATAAGAATAAATAATTAAAAATGTTCGAGCCTATTACAGAATTCATTTCGTACTGGTATTTCAGATATTTGCTAGTAACAGAACTATACATGGTCGAAAAATGGGAAAGAGTCAGTATTCGTATCCTTTTTGTAATAATTTCATTGGTAACTTTAACTAACTATTTAAAATAAGTTCTATTAAATAGAAGTAGAACTATTGTGCTAAAAATATGCATTGTGCCACCAGTTAAATTTTATTCTATTGTATCAATATAGAATTCAACTTGTAAATTATTAAACAGTTTGTTTCATACTTGTTATAATAATAGTAAATGGTAGTCTGCCCGAAGGCAGGTCCATAGTGTGAGAGCCACCACAAATAAATGATTCCCTTACTCTTTATCCCATTACCACTATTCCCCCTCCACATTTTTTTTTATTTCATGTATTTTCCTTTCCGAACTTTTGCTTCCATGTTTCTGATCCTGTGCTTCGGCTTTCAGTTCACTTGCTATACTATTATTATGTTTATTTTGGATTCCTCACTATAACACGTTAATTGCTATGTCAGTCAAATGTATCAGACGCTAAGAAGTTCTACATGAGCCATGTGTGACATACACAATTTGGTGTATTTTCCTTTCCGAACTTTTGCTTCCATGTTTCTGATCCTGTGCTTCGGCTTCAGTTCACTTGCTATACTATTATTTATGTTTATTTTGGATTCCTCACTATAACACGTTATTGCTATGTCAGTCAATGTATCAGACGCTAAGAAGTTCTACATGAGCCATGTGTGACATACACAATTTGGTACAAGACCTCGTCAATCACAAATGTTTGGTTAATCACAAACAATATGCATTATGTTTCAAAAGCTCTGCCTATCAAAAACAAAACCTGATAACTTCTTCGCTTACTACAAACAATAAAATGCTATAGCATGTATATGTATACATATACCATTAACAATAAAATGTTACATGATTCCCACAAAATGTATCCTCAAACATAAATCCTGTTTGGAGGTGTCAGACATATAAAACTAACATAGCTTGTCGAGAACAAAAGTACCATGGCCCATGTAGGAATTTTACTGATATTATCATGGCAATTAATGTGTTAAGATATTAAAATGTAATAATTCCATATAATTTTTGTTGCAGATAAGTAATCTGATGTTTAGAGCAATATGATTGAATTTCTATTTTGTATTTTTAACTATATTATAAAGTACTTACTAGCATACTAATTATATTCTATAATATAATTAACTGAAAAGTACTATTTATAATCATTTAACAAATAATAAATTTTTAAACCTTTGCACATTCCAAATGGTTCTGATAAAACAAACTTTCATGTGTTTCACTTTACACTTTCATGTGTAATGTCCGGCAATATTTCATTCTATAAATATGTAGACTTCTAAGATTTCATCTTGTGAATTTTTCGAAAGTCCATTTTATGCTCGATGTAACACTATTTTATGACCATTATAGATTCCTCACATTGAATTGTAATAACATTTTGCCTATAATTGAACTTCTCTCTTGAATTCACAAATCAAGCTCTCATTTACTTCTGAATCTTCCGAAGGAGTATGAATATCTCTGCATAAATTGTATTCCCTAGTATACTCAATAAGAATAGTCAGTCCAAATTTATATACATTTGATATTTCTATAACTATTTTTAATGGTAATGCTTTAGTCTTTTTTCATATTATATATAAAAGTGAAAGATGAAAATATGATAAAAATAATTGAAATCATAAAAGATATTGAATGCATAATATATATATATATAAATATATATATATATATATATATATATATATATATATATATATATATATATATGCATTCAATATCTTTTATGATTTCAATTATTTTTACCATATTTTCATCTTTTACTTTTATATTTATGTTTTTCATAATACATTTTAATGAGGTTGAGATCTTTAAAATGTCAAGAAATGATCAGATTTATCATGAATATTACCTGATGTATTTATCCTTAATGCTTCTCATTTAGATATATTCTTCGTGATTGTGTTCGCTGCTCTCTCATACTTCAATAATAATGTTTTTGTGCCGATGAGTTCCAAGATGTTCAATTTTGCACCAGACTTAGCTGATTTAATTCCTGTTGCTAGTTGATAATTTAATGTATTATTTTTGAGTCGTTTTTAATATTTAAGAATGGCCTAACACTTAGATTATACATACCTTGCTACGAAACAACCATATATTATATATAATGTTATGTGCACATAAAAATGTATACCTTCATGTTATTCCACAATAAATTAGTAAAATTATACACATTTGATGGTTTTACTCGCATAGATTTTTTTTTAATAACAATTTCCTAAAATTACAAATTATTTCAAAACAGTTCATTCTCACAGGTAATTGGTTTTGTTTTTGTTTGTTATAAAAGTGTTAAAAGAGTACTTATTGAATCAATTAAATGAAAAACAGTAATTCAAATAAACAAAACAGAATAGCTATTACTTTAATTTTGCAAACAATAAAAATTGTATTACAAATTAATGTTGTCTACTATTTAACTATTGTATATATGGCATTGCTGCACGAATATGTTATTCAATGTTTAAAATCTATGTTAATAATTAAGAATAAGTTGTTTTTATTTTTGCAAATTTAAATGAAACAGTGCTCATAATTTTTTTTCATATTATGAATTGAAAATTATAATATTTAGCCGAATATTTATTTAAGAATTATAAGAACAGATATTTCTGTGTCACCACAAATCAATCATTCATAGAAACAATTATTAAATTGATATTAATATTTGTATATGGAAATTTTTTAATTTGTTATTATTTTTGATTAACAAATAAAGCACTATTAAAGTTTTGTTTAAATTTTAATTTTGGCTCAAAATAAAAACTAGACTCAATTAAAAACTATGCTTATAAGCAATAGCAATAAACTATATGCTTTTGCCGCAAAATTCTTCACTTTGAAGAAAGTTAATTCAAAAAACGTTTTGCCGAAGAATGTTTCATACAACTACATAACAAAACAGCAATAAAATACGCAATAAAATTTCATTCCTTTGCAATACAAACAATTGGCTTTTAGAAAATCATTCGAAAAAATTTCATAAAGTTGCACATATGTTAGAGCCTTGTTAAAAGATAGGCTTTTGAAAATTACCCATATTTACCAAAAACTAATCAGCATTACTTTCAACTGATACCTTCCGAACAAATTATTCGCAACTGATATTTTTTTAACGGATTTTGAATTTACATAATCGGTTCAAGGCTGAGATCGTTGAAAGAAAATATGTTTCTGCATTGTTGTTGGAGTTGGAGTTTCATCAAGTTTTATATCTAGTACTATCTAGACTTCTTGATCATCATCTAGTTTTATGGCTAGTACTTATCGAGTTTCATCGCTTTAAAATTATTTTTAAAATCGATTCAGCCGTTTTCGACAAGTCGTCGATAAAAAGTCAAATTTTGGCTCATATTGCAATAGCGTTGCTCATTATTCTGAAGTTTTATGATTTTTAAAATTAAACCACTTAATTCAGGCCAATAATACTTTAGTAAATTCTTAGATCATAATCCTTATTACAAAATCATCAAAAAAATTTTTTTTCAAAGATAAATGAAGAAACGGCTCCGCAGATCTTTACCAAAAACTATTCGATCTTTGCATCGAACTACAAAAGATAAAAAATTGACCCATATATATTATTTTCTAATTTTGGTCTTAAAGATTCAGAATGATTTAAAACGCCGAGTAAACATAAAATTAGCATGTTCTATTTTCTGGCAAAAACAAACTTTTCTACGGGAAGTTAAAAAGAAATTTTAAAAAAAGTTTCCATTATCCTGGCAAAGCTTTTAAGGGCGAATGTAATCACATTGCGTTACTTGTCACGTTAAAGTCTCGGTTATAATTAAGTAATAAAAATGATATATGAGATGTTATAACATGCAAGATAAAATTGCATACATTTTAAATCAAATTGAATTGTTCTGCTCTTTGTTTATGGCGAATAACAGAAAATATATGAGCAAATTTATCCTTTAACCATCAATTTTTGTTTGGTAATTACGTATTTTGTTATCGGTAATATCGCCAATGTATTAATTGGCCTTGCAGATTTTCAATTTAGATAGTGATAAATGTGTGCTAATACACTGGAAAAACATCGCCTCGTTTTGTAATTAAATTATCAATTGATCTTGGTAAATGAATGCCATAGATGAAATTATTAAAGTAGACATTAAAGCCTAGCGCCAGTTTAAGTTGACCAGATTCTAATCCAAACCAGTTAAATATTAAATGGATATTTGTGGATTAATAACACAATAAATTGGATCCTAATTACTATAAAATCACTGTTATAAGTGTGTCCGATTGTTTTTAAGAAGTAACAATGGCCATGAGCTTAAATCCAAGATTTTAATCCAAACCAGGTCAAATTCAAATGAACATTTGTAAATTAGCAACACAAAAAAGTTGGATTAACAAGATTTTTATCCAAACCAGGTAAAATTTGAATGAACATTTGTAAATTAGCAACACAGAAAAGTTGGATTTACAAGATTTTAATCCAAACCAGGTAAAATTCAAATGAACATTTGTAAATTAGCAACACAAAAAAGTTGGATTTACAAGATTTTAATCCAAACCAGGTAAAATTCAAATGAACATTTGTAAATTAGCAATACAAAAATATTGGATTTAGAAGATTTTAGTCCAAACCAGGTAAAATTCAAATGAACATTTGTGAATTAGCAACACAAAAAAGTTGGATTAACAAGATTTTAATCCAAACCAGGTAATATTCAAATGAACATTTGTAATTTAGCAACACTAAAAAGTTAGATTTACAAGATTTTAATCCAAACCAGGTAAAATTCAAATAAACATTTGTAAATTAGCAACACAAGAAAGTTGGATTTACAAGATTTTAATCCAAACCAGGTAAAATTCAAATGAACATTTGCAGTGGCGTTGTAAATTAGCAACATAAAATGTTGGATTTACAAGAGGTTAATCCAAACCAGGTAAAATTCAAATGAACATTTGTAAATTAGCAAGACAAAAAAGTTGGATTTACAAGATTTTAATCCAAACCAGGTAAAATTCAAATGAACATTTGTAAATTAGCAATACAAAAAAGATGGATTTACAAGATTTTAATCCAAACCAGGTAAAATTCAAATGAACATTTGTAAATTAGCAAGACAAAAAAGTTGGATTTACAAGATTTTAATCCAAACCAGGTAAAATTCAAATGAACATTTGTAAATTAGCAAGACAAAATAGTTGGATTTACAAGATTTTAATCCAAACCAGGTAAAATTCAAATGAACATTTGTAAATTAGCAACACAAAAAAGTTGGATTTACAAGATTTTAGTCCAAACCAGGTGAAATTCAAATGAACATTTGTAAATTAGCAATACAAAAAGTTGGATTTTTAAGATCTTAATTCAAACCAGGTAAAATTCAAATGAACATTTGTAAATTAGCAACACAAAAAAGTTGGGTTAACAAGATTTTAATCCAAACCAGGTAAAATTCAAATGAACATTTGTAAATCAGCAACACAAAAAAGTTGGATTTACAAGATATTAATAAAAACCAGATAAAATTTAAAAGAACATTTGTAAATTAGCAACACAAAAAAGTTGGATTTACAAAATTTTATTCCAAACCAGGTAATATTCAAATAAACATTTGTAAATTAGCAATACAAGAAAGTTGGATTTACAAGATTTTAATCCCAACCAGGTACAATTCAAATGAACATTTGTAAATTAGCAACACAAAAAAGTTGGATTAACAAGATTTTAATCCAAACCAGGTAAAATTCAAATGAACATTTGTAAATCAGCAACACAAAAAAGTTGGATTTATAAGATATTAATCCAAACCAGGTAAAATTCAAATGAACATTTGTAAATTAGCGACACAAAAAAGTTGTATTAACAAGATTTTAATCCAAACCAGGTAAAATTCAAATGATCATTTGTAAATTGTAAAAAAAAGTTGGATTAACAAGATTTTGATCCAAACCAGGTAAAATTCAAATGAACATTTGTAAATTAGCAACACGAAAAAGTTGGATTAACAAGATTTTAATCCAAACCAGGTAAAATTCAAATGAACATTTGTAAATCACCAACACAAAAAAGTTGGATTTACAAGATATTAATAAAAACCAGGTAAAATTTAAAAAAACATTTGTAAATTAGCAACACAAAAAAGTTGGATTTACAAAATTTTAATCCAAACCAGGTAAAATTCAAATGAACATTTGTAAATTAGCGACACAAAAAAGTTGTATTAACAAGATTTTAATCCAAACCAGGTAAAATTCTATTGATCATTTGTAAATTGTAAAAAAAAGTTGGATTAACAAGATTTTGATCCAAACCAGGTAAAATTCAAATGAACATTTGTAAATTAACAACACAAAAAACTGAATCGTGATCACTTGCTAAGTGATTCCGATTATTCAAAAAGTAACAATAATCAGTTATTAAATTTATTAGAGAAGAAAATTAATCAGATTGTAATCCAAAATCCAAACCAGGTATCTTCAAATGAATATTTGTTGATCATCAACATAAACAAGTTGAAATCTAATCACTGGCTAAATGCGATTATCTAAGAAGAAATAATATTCATAAGTATGGAAATTAATCAGATTAAAATCTAAAACAAGTGAAATTGTAAAGAAGATTTGTATATGAATCATACGAACAAAGTTAGATTCTAAGCATTGCCTAAGAGCATCCGATTATTCAAGAAGTAATAATGAGTATCAGTTTAAAATAAACAGATTGTAAACCAAAACAGGTAAAATTCAAATCAATATTTCTGAATTAACCACAAAAAAAAGTTGGATTCAAATCACGAAGTGTGTCCGACTTTTTTGAGAAGTAACAATTAGCAAAACTTTAATCCAAACCAGGTAAAATTTAAATCAATATTTGCGGATTAACAATACAAAAAAGTTGAATCCAAATCATTGGCTAAGTTCGTGTGATTATTGAAGAAGTATATATTGGGTATCAGTTTAAATTAATCAGATTTTAAAACAAACCAGGTAAAATTCAAATATATGGTTGGGGATCATTAACAACATAAAAAATGGATTATAATCAATGTTAAGTGCTGCCAATTATTGAAGAAAGACAAATTATAAACAAGAAAGTACATACATTTAGTAAATTCACAATCAGTTAGTTATAATTATTGTTTACAATTTGCTGTCCAAGTGCAGATATGTGTTAATAAATAATAAATAGCAGTCTGCACGAGGGCAGATCCATGGTATGAGACACCACAAAATCACTGATTTGCCTCCCCTTCCTTATTTATTATTCTAATTAACTAATTAACAACCATTAATCACTTTTTATTATTTTTTATGATATGTGTTATAAAACCAAAATTTAAATGTGCAATTGGGTGGGATTATAGAAGTGTGAACTTTTGAGACTATGACAAAAGTCCGAACTTTTGGATCTTAATCTCAATAACATTTGAAAACAAAATAATTAATACGAATATCTCCTATATACAACGTAGAGTAATCGGTAGGAAAGTCGGCTAGAAAAAACTAGTCTCCGGTTCAATCTCAACCTCGGCCAAGCTCGATATCAAGCAGCACGATATCAAATTGGAAATAATATATCTCAAATATAATCTCAAGTGAAAATCGCTTAGACAGGCATTCGCCTTTGATACTCATAACTATTAGATATATTTCTAATATAATTACCACACATATAATAGAAGGGTAAATGCCTCTAATGAAACATTAGGTATTTCAACAGAAACAGGTTATAGGATAAGTAATTCTAAGAAGTTTTGATTGCTGTTGAAACAAAAAATAATAATAATACAAATATCAAATTATCCTGAAGTATCAAATGATTTGATGCATCAGTTGCTTCGGGAGTTATGCGATAAATTTTAATAATACTAATTATATAAAATTTATATAAAAATACTTGATCTCAAAAGTAAAAAAAACTGCATTGATCTGCTATAGTACTGCGCCTGATAAGAGGAAAATAAACAAATATAAAAATCTTGTCGAACAGAGCAAATTATAAACGAATCTAAAACAATGAGGCAATTGAAATGCAATAATATTTTTCAAAAATGCGATTAGTAAGTTATTTAATAGTAATGAATTTGTCGTTTCTGTACGCTTTGCTGGATGACTTCATCGGGGTGCGAGAACTGCATAAAAGTCAGGCATCATGCACATATGCCATTGCTTCAAGATATTTTCCAAATGGAACTATTATCTATTCAGTATCAGTGAATCCAAATATAACAGATGCTACGACTACTGTAGATTTGAATAGAAGAATTTTAGAAAAACTCCATTCCCGTTTGCAATGGACTATTTCCACAAAATATTCGGTTACAAATCACAGCGATTGGGTTGAACATTTGGATAGAGCTTCTGGATACATCCTCTTAATAAATACCGTAGATGATCTTATGGATAACTTATTTTTGTTAAAAGAGCTACCCACTTGGAATCCTAATTCAAAGTTTATTATTCTTTTAGTGGAAACTGCTGAATATATTTCAGAACTGACCAGTATGGCTATGAGTATATTGTGGGACTACAATATCATAAATGCCTTGATTTTGATACCGGACGAATCAAACAGAACCAGTTTCAGAATAATAACTTGGTTTCCATACGCCAATGGTAGTTGCGGTACTGAACTGACAGATTTTACATATTTGGATACTTGCAACAATGGAAAATTCGTTCGAAAAATAAATTTGTATCCTCGTAAAGTACCAGATGACATGAACGGCTGTCCAATACAAGTTATTACAGTGGTATGGCCACCTTTCATCATAAATCCTGGAAATTATTATATTGAAGATGATTCAGATATCCCTCTGACGAATGGTTATGAAATACTGCTCATGAGAGTATTGGAAGAGATCTACAACTGCAAGTTCATTTACCGAAGTTTTTCAAAACCAGAAAATTGGGGAGATGTATATCCGAATAAATCATTCACCGGTCTGTTTCAGTATTTAATGGAACGAAAAGCTGATATAGGAATTGGTGCAATATTTCCTAAATCGATTTTGCATGATGAGTTTGATTATTCGATACAATATTTTCAAGACCAATATGCATTGGTTTTACCTTTAGCAGGTTTGGCACCTGGTTGGCAAAATTTTATTGCTATACTCAATCCGACTATGTTATTATCATGCTTCTTTATTTTCATTACTACTTCTATGTTTCTCTTCATTGCGGCTAAAAGAAGTCGAGACTTGAAAATATACCAAACTAAAACTGGAGCAAGTTTTGTTGCATTGTCAATTGCTTTAATGAATTGTATGGCAGTCCAACCAAAATATTGTCGACTGAGAATCATATTTATTACATGGTCGTTTTTCAACATTGTCATGAACGCAGTTTTTCAAAGCGGTCTTATCAGAACATACACATATCCCTTGCAGAAATATCAGATAAAAGATGAAATTGAAATAGTGGATGAAGGGCATATCATGGCAGGAACTGATACAATCAAGCATATTTATGGAGATTCGGACGATTTTATTTCCAAGTATATAATGAAGCACTACAAGGAATTGGAATCATTGCAATCTCTTCAATATGTTGCTTATTACAAAAACATCACATCTCTAATCAGCAGAAGCTATTTGTCCTACATTCCAACAAATTTGAGGAAACGTATTTTCATACCCAAGCACAACGTAATATCGCTACCTATAGAAATGTTATTTGTGAAAGGGTTTCCATTTCAGAGAAACTTTAACAGAGTCATCGCGCGATGCCTATCGTCTGGACTTTTTGAAAGATGGAAATCGCACGTCCGTAACACGTTGCAGACCAACTCTACCGAAGACATAACTGAGAAGGAAAATAAAAAACAAGAAATACACATAAATTTGAGTGATATTAGTAGTGCTTTCGCTCTTCTTATTTTTGGATACATACTATCAATCGCTGCTTTTTTATATGAAATCAGAGTGTATATAAAAACAACTAGTGATAATTTGAAAAACAAATTAATCAGAAGACCAAGTAGAAGGTTTTCCTTCGTACTGTAGAATGTTCATCATCAATGTAAGTAATTAAGTTAGTTCAGAAAACATGACAAACAAACCATCGAGACAAAAAAAAATTTGAAGCAAACCTTCTTTAGGTGTGACTAGGGTGTAAATCTGTGAGAATGCAACGGAAATTGCGTTACGCCCGGACTGTACGTCATTCGCATGAAATCATTTCAATACGGGTCAACTGTGATAGAGTCGTGAATAGAGATCTGTCGTTGTATGCGTACCGGCGTCAACATTGTATGCGTACCGACATCAACAAGGAAATCGGCATAGATAAATAAACATTTTAAAGTTACATCGTAGTACAAATCTTGATATAATGAAAAATGCCTGTATCAGAAGAATATTTTACCCTGTTTCTTGAAAATAAAAGAACAAATTAAATATTTGTGCAGTGTACTAAACGTAAGTTTATTGATCAGAAATTATTCCTATATTATTCCTAGTTTCTGTAAATCTTTGAAGTTATTAAAATGAAAAATATTTTTTAGGCAAGACAGATATTACAGCTGTCAAAAGAATGAGATTATATCGCCAGCAAAAAAGTAAAAAAAAAATACAAGCAGTCAATGCATGTATGTTAATTTTAATTTAATGAAGTTCTTCAAATACAATTACATGATGAGTGAAGTTGCGAAAACACAATATTTGTTTATGCGTTGTTTAACGTAACCAACTGTGTGAACGAATATTATACAATTTATTAATCAACAACTACTTCATTTCTCTAATGAAGGTTCATTTCTAAATGCTAATTACAATGACAAACCGATCATGCCATATTTAAAGTATGACTTTAATTACATTATAGTTTTTAAATATTATACATATATTTTTAATGCTATTATAAATATATAATTTATAATTTATCATTATATAAATGTGTATAATGGTTGACACTAATAAATGTGTGCATCACGAGTGTTACCAAAAACATTATTCAAAATTGTTATATGATGTATTTATTTTACTTAATAGTAGAAAAAAGTTTTACTTCAATCGCGTGTGAACCTTACGCGCACTCTTTTTTTAGTGAAGGTAGGAAAACTTAGTTTTAAGTGCGAAATCTAATGTACAATTGTGTATGATGTATATAATTGAAGCATAATGCATATAATCGAAGTAAATCCTCAGTATTTTGAGGATTCTATTATAATAAGACAATGATGATAATGGTAAGATAATTTTGTTGGAGAGTTCAATATTTTGTTCTATATAATAAGAAAATGCTTCATAATACTACAATTATGTTTAAGCATTTGAATATTAAATCTTGTCTATGGAGATTTAAAATAAATAAAACACTGCGCATTAATACTTATTAATATTTTTATTTTTCCTTAAAACCAATACAAAATTGAATTGAATGTAAATATTTCAATATAAAATATGTATAAGACAAAAACGTACACTAATTTATTTACTTATATACTATTTAGAGGACCATAAGGATCAGGTTATGACCTGAATTTATAAAAATCAGACCAAATCATATCACAGTGATTCATTTTCGAATTTATAAAGCTAAATGTCATGTTAATACTCAATAATTTAATTATCGCTTGTAATTAGTAATAAATATTTTTGGCAGAGAAGGTTGATAAGTAGTTTTATTGAATAATTTGTAGGGCATAGATTATTTATATTAAAACTACCTAATAATATATTTAACTTATTGTGATAATCTAATATATGAGATAGATATTATTATAAAATTTTACGCACAGTATTGCTAATACATTTTGGTGGGATGAATATCTTAGATAATTCAATAAGAAAATTTCATTTTCTTTTGATCATCCTCCTTGACTTCATTGCAGTACCTTTTCAATGTTATTTGGGCCATACGTGGCTTAATGTTACATTTTTTAGGGAGTTCCGGTAACTTATTCACAGCATTATCCAGCATGTGACAAATAACAGGAGCTACTCTTTCAAAAACTTGACTTGTAGAGATAGTCCGTGAAATAGGTTGAGAATGCTCATAACTATTCATTTGATTAACGTTTGCTGTAATTTCCTTATGTTTAGTTTCCCAGTCATCTATTCTGCGTCTCAGTTCACCAATTTCATTACTTTGCCTCTTGATTGTTCTGCTTTGTTTAATCAAACGTTTGTTTTGGGTTGCATATAATTCCTTAATCTTTTTAAACTACAACAAGATAATTTAATTATTTCAAAGTCACAATTTTCTTCTATAATAGACGTATCAGCAAAAAAAAAATTCATAATGATTTCAAAATATGTGACTAAATAACATCCAGTGCGATATGTTTTCATACTCAGTGTGATAAAAAAAGTATTAGTGAAAATAGTGATTTCCGAATAGTGTAAATAGTCAACCTAGAACCTCTTACCAAATTATAAATTGTGTGAGTACATTTTTTAGTATTTCACAATTCAATTAAATTCTATAAACTAGTGGGGTGGGTGGCATCGTGCCTTAAGGCAAATTGCTGGAACTTCCCGTACCGTAACGAAATGTTCGAGGAATATTGAATGTTTTCAAATAGATTATTATAAGTATTGTAACATTGTCTAATATTGAAAGTTGAAATTATTTGTTTAAAGTATATTAGAACTATAGTCAGAATCAAAAATAAAATCTGAATTATTTTCGATTTACAAAAAATTAAAAAAAAAAAAAAAATGGAACAAAATTTTTTTTTTTCAAAATCAATTATTTTGTTAAAACAAGCAGAAAGTTCTTTGAATCATTCAAATCGGACGCTTAGTTCTCTCAAAAACTGCCATTTTTTACATATTTAGCTCCGTATCTTCGAAATGGCTGGGCTTGCCTTTGCCAAAAATTAATAAACACTTCTCCCAATCGTTCCTAATTGAATGTTTTTTAGATCATTCAAATCGGATACTCCGTTCTCTCAAAAAGTCGATTTCTATTTTCTGCACTCTTTGCTCCGTATCCTCGAAACGGCTGGACCTGCCTTTGCCAAAAACTAATCAGCTCTTTTCCCTATCGATAGGAATCGAATGTTTTTTGAACCATTCAAATCGGTTGATCCGTTCGCCCGGAAATGTGACTGGAAATTTGTATCTATACATACATACATACACACACACACACACACACACACACATACACACACATCCATTTTTTCTGAGCTATGCCAAACTGTTCAGAAACCTTCAAAACGTCGAGAAATGTAAAAATTTTCAATTCCGATTTTCGGCCCATTACAATAACTTACCCTACGGGAAGTTAATAAAACACTTTTCATATGCCTCTAATATATTAGAATGCTTGTTTAGACGGTGAATTATATCACTATGCTATGTATCATAAAACTAATTTTAACTGATATATTTCGAACAGTTTTTAAATTTTTAAATTAATTCAGAATTTTTGGCTAAAATTTTGACGAAAATTTTTGCATTCATCTGATAATTGTAAAAAAAAAGAATTCGACCAATAGTCACACAAAAATAACCAACGCAAATCCATATCGAGTTTCATCAAATGGATATCAAATTTTTGAAACCAGTCATCAGAAGAAACATATATGAAAGGTCAAATATTGGCTCACATTCATAGTGTTGCTTGACTGATAAGTAATGTTGGAGATCCAGACGAGAACAGAAGGATATTATTGCTGATTTCAGTGGTTACTTCGGTGTTGCATATATGATGTATATAGTTCATACATCTGGGCCGCCGAACCCAAGATTCAAAATTCATGGAATTAAGAATATCAAATTAAGAGCAGCTTGCGCCTTTCGCTCAATACAAGACAAAGCAGTGTACTCTTAGGATTTTATCTAATCTTTTATCAGATAAAAGATAGAAACTTTACCAACAATAAAAATCGTCAACAGAAAATCGTAAGTCTTGAAAAGCTTAGAATAGATAAACCTCACAAGGTAAAGACCGATGGCATCACCAGTAAGTTTGTTTCACAGTGAAGGGAATATGAATGTATTGTCACAGTTTCAAAGCAAAAATCTAAGTTTGGCTGAATCGGAGCCACGGAGAAGTCAATTGTTATTTTTGCACGGTTATTTTCGAGCATATTTACACTACTTTAAGCAAAACGTCGGAGTAGACGATGTTTTGACATAGGAGATTTAGTGAATAGTGGAATTACACCAGATTTACTAGTGGAACTCCTCATAGACTTCGTTTCATAACAAGAATGAGATCAAATGACGTCAATTAGGAGTAATAAAAAAATAACACTTTAGTTCCTAGATTCCGCCACAAAGTACATAAGGAAAGTACAGATAATAAATGACATGGTGTTGTTTTTTAATGGTATTATAATTAGTCTCAATTTTTTTTATTCATCTTAAGTTAATTGGGTACCAGTAAAATAGTCTTTTAATTAAGTTGGAACTGTAATAACATATTTATTTATAAAAAATGCATTTATACAAAAACCATTTTGCCCATATAAAATATATGGCCCATATAATCTTATATATAAAAATGAATCGCAAAATGTGTTGGTAAGCGCATAACTCAACAACGCCTGGACCAATTTAGCAAATTTTTTTTTTTTAAATGTTCGTTGAAGTCCAAAGATGGTTCTTACGCCGAGAAAAAATCGAATAATTGCCGGAAAACCCTAAAACAGCCCTTTTCTTTTTCACAAACAAACGTTTTCTAACTAAAATCAATGGTAGAATCAATTTGAGCTTTATTGTATTATATAAAGTTCATATTAAATTACAAGCACTCACTGTATACTCCTCCTAAACGATTATTCGGATTTTGATAAATCTTTCTAAAGTTTGTTAAGAAAATTTTCTAGGATGTATGTGATTATAAAGTACTGGGATGTGTGTAATAAATGAAAAAAATGGCAAAAACGACATATTGTTTGCATTGAAAACAAATGAAAACTATCACCTGCCAAAAATTTCAATTTACTTATGAACCTAGACAATATTAGAATATGTATAATGAATTCATGATTATGAATAAATAATGAATAAAGCAGTTCTACATTTAACATCGCTCATATGATAAATGTATTTGCATTTTAGCGTGAAGAGTAATTTAAAAAACAATAATTATTATTTTTAGGTAAACGGTAAATATTAAGTATATTTTATTAAAAAGTTGCAGAAATGGGTACAGGACAACGTCTGTCGGGTCATCTAGTATATAATAAAATAGTATGGATAACATGACATAAGGTAAGGACATACTGAGATTCTAATTTTTAAGAAGACTGTTTACAAACTATTCATTTGGTCCTCGCAAGGACGTTGGTTTTGTAATAAATGAAGTGTTCTTCTTTTTACCAGTGAATTCTTTGGTCAGTTTTTAAAAGTAGTTAGAGTAGAAGTTAAAAGTCAATCACTTTTGACAGGTTTAGATTTTTTTTTCATAGACTGGAATAAACTATCCTATTATCCTGGCGAAATAGAATTATGTAATTTTATTCAAAAGTTAACAAAAGGGGTACAAATCTTCAAAATTCCATCAAACACCTGATTATTACAATAAATTTGATCAAAATCACTAATACTGGCAAAAGATTATCGATTTTAATAGAAATAATTGCAAATAACAATAAATAGGTACCCAAAAAACATGATAAATTGACCCTCAAACAAGACTTTTAAAGGCTCCATACACATTTGAAGTGATTGCTGCTACAATGATGCTCAATATCCGATAGAATTGTGATTATGGTTTTCTTCATGTTACACAGTCGCAGAAGTGTTAGTAAAACTAGCCAATTTATAAATAAGGCCATAGTTTTATTTTGTCTATATATACCATTTTGGCTGTATTTTCCCTGCTTGTTGGAGAAAAGGCTCGCACTTTTTGCACTCTTGTTATTGGATAATGCATTTTATCACTCCAAAAAGGAAAAATACAATCAGACGATTTCTAGTCAATGACTATCATCAATTTCTTTAAGAATTCAGGAGTGAAAAGGGCAAGAGTGGTCCACTTTTGAACATAAGTAATAAACTTTTTTCATGAACAAGTGATGAATGTTTTCTTTAAAATGTTGTAATTACATGTATAATATATTTTATTTCAGGATAAATTTAATTAACTTGCATTCCTATGTAAAAATGCGTTTTTCATAACCAACTTTTCAAATAACAAACTGCCTTCCGGAAAAAATTAAGTACATTAGCAAGATACCAATGTACATATAAATCACACACATGGACTTTTCAATTGGTTAAAAATAGTATAATCATAAAAATAATTTAGATATTCATAAAAGCTGAAACAATTACCTGATTTGATAATCCTATGAATTTCTTAGTTAGAGCATCTGTTAATACTTTATCAACAAGGTTCTTATTGAATGCGTTCTTGAAAGGATTAGGATCTTGTGTTTCATAACCCTCTTGAGATGTTGAAGGTAAAGCTGTAAGAATAAATCTTTAATAAAGATGACAAAAATACTGACAACTGACAACATACTACATTTGAATACATACAACGATTTAATTCAAATGTGTTTTCCCTTGGAGCATTATTGGTTTGTGCTGCTTTTAATAGTGGGCATATTTTTTCATCAAAATGTTCAATGGCCATAGATGATATATCCCGAAGTTCTTGTAAAATTTCATGAGCTCTGGGCGGATTATTAGTCAATTCTAACACTTTCAAAACTCGAAGGACTTCATCTATCACCTAAGAAATAAAAATAAAATAAGTATATAAAAATAATAATTATAATAATTTGGTTAATAGAATGATGCCTATTTAAACAACTTGTATAAACCAAAATATTTTTTATAGAAATATAATATTACATATACTCCACAAAACATTTATTCAAAACTATTGCTAACCACTTTTATGAAAATATACCTAATTATGATTGGAGGTGGCATAAAAATTTAGTTAGTCATTAGTAATCATGATAGTAATATTAAAAACCAATACCATGGAAACAATGACCAATATTTAAAAAACGTAGCATTTTATAGTGCAAAGTCATTTTGATTGTGAAAGAATTTTGAGATAAAACATAAATCAAAACTTATCAGTCAACTAATTCACATAGTAGATCGCACTGTAACTCAAATATTCTTCTTGGAAAACAATCAATAATAAAAAGAGATAATAAAAGTAAGATAAAATCCATCAAACTCACAACACTAAATCAGTTCACCTGATTCAAATATGATTTAAATATTCATATTATAGTTACCTTTCCAGGTATAAAACAGCATATGTTCTGTTCAATATATTTACTGTATGTCATAGACATCATTGAAATTCTTGTTTCGATTGAGGTCAATATATCACAATGCCTCGACAAGGGATGATACCTATAAAACAATTTATATTAATTTTAATAATTTATACTTTATACTATAACTTAGCAATAAAACTGAGCCTGTAAAATGCTAGTTTAAAACTGAATATAATAACTTCAAAACATTATAAAATTAATGAACTATGTACTATTACTACTTTCAAATCTGGATTTGAGATTGATGACATTTAAGAGCCCAATCATTAATTAAAAACTAATTAGAATTATTTGAAATAAGTATTAAAATTATTTAAAATAAGTAAGTATTAACTATATAATTTTAAACATACACATCTCTTATTTGGTAAGATATCAACATACTAAAATTCAATTCATAACAGAAACATACTTAAATCAGATGCAATGGCTTAAAAATTACTACTTACTGCTCGACTAAAAATTTGGTTCAATTTTAATAAATGACTAATATGTTTAAAATATCATTTTGTTGTTTTCAAGTGATTTGAATATACACTTGTATCAAAATATAAATATAATTGTAAACAAAATATAATTTACATGTGTTATATATACCGATAAAAGTGATTGAATCACTAATTGGTAAATCAATGAATTTGAGAGTAAATATCAATTGCAAGAATGGCCAATTGTCATAAACAATTATCATAAAAAATTTAATAACTAATCATTAGATAGTTTCTAAGTAAAATTTCAGTTTGATATAGAAACCATCAGTGTAAGAAAAAATTCATTAATGTATTTCGATCTATAATGATGGATATGAACCTTCTCTCAGATTCCCTCCTTGGTAATCTCGCTTTCACATTTTTTAAGAAAGCAGCATGTTTCTTTTCCATTGTTATGAATCCACGATTTAACAACCGTTGTGCAGCCTTATTAAAAGACTTGCAGACCTGTTGAAATTGAAAAAGGTAAAAACTTACAATATATGATACAAATTTTTAATGTAATTGTAAATGATAGTTAAAAGTTTTATATGAATTGATTGTAACACGTCATTGCACATTTATTCTGACAATTAAATATTTAGTGTTTTTTTCTTCACTTTATTGTCAATCAGGGATATTACACGTAAGTAATTGGTGTCAATGCAATAAAAAAAATATTGACAGCTTATGCAAATATTTTGAATGCAACTGGAGAAAATTATTTTAAAGAAACTGATTTGTTCTTATGATAATAAAAAATGTTTCATGACTACCACTTAATTCTGCAACCAAATTCAGTAAGAACTTATAATATCATTTAATATTTTATGTTTAGTATAAGATTATAATCATTAAAAATATACAAATATATATTTACCAGTCTCATTTTAGATATCTCATCAAATGAAAGGTAACTTAGAATATGTTCCAAGACGATATCTGGGCTTTGTAATATATTCATTCTGTAATTTTATTGTTAATTGCACTAACAAAAATAATTATCAATACAAATATTTGCTATAAAAGTAAATAAGAAATTATAACAGATTCGAATTTACTAGGAGAAGCATAAAAAATAAACAATTTTTATATTTGTTTTAATTATTTTTATGTACTATTATATGATAGACAACATACGTGAAGTGTATGCAGAATACAAAGAGGTCAAAGACTAGGCTTACAGAAGTACCAACTTCATATAAAGTCATCGCGGTGCCAGATGTTAACAACCTAATAATAGTTTCTTCTTCTTGAATTGCTCGGCGTGTAGGGCAAGTAGGGTGTCCGAAATTACATGAACTTCCCGATATGTGTAAATAATCGACTTAATAACAACAAATAAATTAATTTATGAGTGATTGAAAGTATTTCTAGTAGATTTATTACACATAATTGAAAACGAACGAACACGTGAACTCGGAGTATTTTCTAAAAGCAAATTTTCAAAAATCAACAATTTTTATAATTGAACCAGTTTCTGTTTTGAGAGAACTAAGCATCTGATTCAAAAAACTTTCTGCTTATTTTGACAAAATAATTGCTTTTGGAAAAAAAAAATTTAAATATTTTTTCAAAATTTTTATTATCTCAAAAAAATTTTTTTTTTATATCGAAAATAATTCCGATTTTAATTTTAATTCTGACTAAAGTTCAGTAATTCAGTTTATATAACTCTTATAAATATTAGACAATGTTACAGTATTTATAACAATCTATATGAAAACATTTAATATTTCTCGAACACATTTTGGTATCATAATTGGTACGGGAAATTCCAGCAATTTGCCTTAAGGCACGTTTCCATACACAACTAGTTTTAATTTTAACAAACGTCAAAAAAACTACTCATTTACTCAAACTTTGACGAACTTTTAAAATTAAACTACTTGTCGTAAGGCCGTAATATTTCAATAAGTTCTATAAGACCATGATATCGCCAAAAAAAGGTTCATAAAAGTTATAATTTTTTTTTCAACAGCTAATTACAAGAAAACGGCTCGGTAGATTTTCACCTAAAACTAATCAGTATCATTCCTAACTAATATCGTTCGAACGGTTTTTGAATTTTCAAAATCGATTCAGAATGGCGGGCTAAAACGTAGACGAAACATTTTTCACTTTTCTGCGATTTATAAAGAAACGGCTTGGCCGATCGTCGCGCAAAACTGACAAACAATAGTCCTCATTAAGATATATCGAATGTCTTTTAAATGTTTGAATCGGTCTTTGAGAAAACGTCGATTTACGGCAAAAAATCTGTTGACACACTCACACACACACATACTTTTGCCAAATTTGGTCTCATTCGATTCAGAATGGCTTGAAACGTCGATAAAATTAGCGATTCGGATTTTTTGATGAAAACATAAACTTCTCTTTCGGGAAGTTGATCAGAAAGCAAAATAATTATTAAATGTAGAATTAACAAAGTAGAATCTGATAAATAAATTTTAATCCTAGAAATTTAGTTTTCTCCCAATTTTGATATTTATATTTAATATATTTTATGTAATTATTATATATTATTATATATTTTATGTATTGTAAAATTATAATACTTAGAATTACGTAAATAATTATAATATTTATAAGCATTACAATTGTTATGTGAAAGTATGTCTGCGATATATTTACATTACTGAAGAAGTCAGTAATATACCAAGTCATTCCGAAAGAAAGTGTATGAGAGGCGACTTTTGACCTTTCGTCGACGTTTTCTCGGTATCTATGCCGACGTTTTCTGGTATCTATGCTGAAATATCTGTACGTTCTGTGATATTTTGTAGACAGCTATTGATTACAGTTAACATGTATACTTACAATTAATAAAATACATTTTTAAAACTCGAAATAGATCGATGAAATGACATGTGTTTATTATAGTTAATATTCTCATATTGTCTAGGTATGTGATTATATAAGTATGTTTCAAATATATCAATTAAAAATCATTTTTAATTAAAAAGTAAACTTTATTTTCGAAACAAACAGTTAAACATTTTATCTAATTCTTACTTTAAGACAAAATGTTACTTACAACTAGTTGAAATATATTTTGTATTTTAAATATTTCGTTCTCAATACAAGAAGTACAGGAATACCCCGTTTAACGCGGGGGATACGTTCCATGAAAGTAGAGTAAGGGGTTAGGAGAAGACGGCTAGGAACATAGATAAATAAGCATAAGGAACATAGATAAATAAGCATAAAGGCTAGGAAATTGGTTCGGCATTAAATTTAAAGTGTATGTTATTTTTACTAAAAATAAAACCAAACATTTATTTCTTAAAGCCCAAACTAATTCCACATTATTATTTCTTGCAAAAAAGGCCAAAATATAAATAACAAAACAAAGATTCTTGAAAAAACAGATAACATTCTAATTTCATTATATTTAGTTAGCCTTTCGCGTTTTCAGTGTTTTGCCGTTTTGGGACAAAAGCATCTAATGTTGTTTCACTTTTTGTTTTGCGTCGTTCTCTTAAAAGTTCTTCATAAACGGATAGAGTATCTCTAACACCACACCTTACTTTCCTGTCAAAATTCGGATCATTTTCAATTATCTAAGTCCATTATTTAAGTTATGGAACCAACTTTTTTTACAAACACCATCCAAAGTTCTTTTTGCTTTTCCGCTGAATCACTGCTGTCAACATTTTTGTTTTCTTCTTGTTCAGTTCATTCTTGAGCTCACCATTAGAAAGACTGCGCTGCTTCTTGAATTATTTCAACGACATCTTCCTAATTTATCCCTTCAAAAACAGCGCTAAACCAAAACAGCGCCTGGCCAACGGAGCCCAGTCGACAATCTAATAGCATGTTACATAAGAAACCAGGTCATTTTTATGCGAGTGAGATTTGTTAGCGACGCTTCTTCGTAGCTGTGCCCATCCAGGCAAAAATCGGTCAAGCTGCTTCAAAATACGAGTATGGTATCCAAAATCAGATCAAAGTAATTGAAATCGTGGACAGGATAAAATCTTACCGATCATATTTCATCTCATCTGCAATATTGTATTTAAAAAAAAACTATTATAATTAAAAAAATATTATAATTACTTTATCATATCATCAGACAATTGTAAAATCTTAAGGAGAAATTTTTATTTACAAAAAAAAGGGGTTAATTTACTTGAAGTGTATGTGTTGCCATCTATAACTAAAGCAGTAAATTAAAATGAAGGTAAAGTCAAACATAGCGATCTATTTTACTCCCATATCTGTGGTTTTAGCAAGGAGTACTGTACATCTTGTTTCACAGATGGCAGCTATTTCATTGATCGCATTAAATACAGATGGCTGTGCTCTGTGTATGTCAATATCAACTACAAATCGTTCGCTCAAATTGGGGAAAACCTGTAGAGTTTTCAAATATTTGATCGCCATTTGCTTTCGTTTGTGGTTATAAGTTTGTGCACGAGTGTCGTTGGTTATTAACTGTGTTTAAGTAAACATTTATAAAAGAAATTTGGTATGTCGAAGTGTTCCGTGCCAAAATGTCACAACACAAAAAAGACTGAGGGAGTAGGAATGCACGTCTTTCCGGCAAAAAATGATCAGGCATGTGTAACGTATTATGTTTATATAATGAAAATGTGTAATGTTTAATGAAAATGTTCTAGATGTTTGCTGTTTGGGTGCGAAGGACAAATAATCCGCAACTGGACGATTTGACTCCTTTGCATTGTAACACTTCCCGCTATATCTGTGACGCTCATTTCACAGACATTTGCAAAGTAAACCACCTTGCAAAAAATGCAAGAACAAATTTAAAAATTCATGCACTTCCGACCTTAAATATGCCAGGTATGTTCTATAATGCATTAATAATAGTTTGCTTATGTCAAATTCATATTTGCCTTGATATTCGAAGGATTCGTTGGGGACCCTTACCTGGAGGCAAACTGCCTCATGGATAAAAAAAGATTTCGTAAGTACAATAATGAAGTTTATATAATGAATTGATGCATAGATTTTAAAAAAACTAGTATTATTTTAGAACTTGGTGTATCAATTCGAAAAAGTGAAGTTACAACAGGGGCATACCGATTGTTGGAGGAAGATGATCCTATCTTAGGTAATTAAATACCAAGTGCATATTTATATAAAGTATGGTAACAGGTAACAAGGCATCTTTTGGCTCACATACATATACACAACTTTTTCTTATCTTGATCTCAAACAATTCAGAACTTAAAACAATTTGTTTGCTAGTTGGATCAAACATCAAACTTCGGACGGTTGATAGAAACTCACATATTGAAATATTTGGCATAGAAAAGATAGCAAAATTTATTTCCATTTTGCACTTTATATTTTGTTATTAAATAAAGAAAACGCGAATTTAGCTTCAAAATAAACTAAGGTTATTTCAAAGCAACTCCTATACTTTGCACACTTTTTAATAACACAATTAAAAATTGTGTATTTGAAATATTTTGATATTACCAGATAACCAGAATAACCAGAACTAGAATCAGATTATTTATAAATATTATATTTTATTATTGTCTATGTTATGTATTGTTCAGGAATGATAATGTCATAGATAGATAAACATACATGGATAATGTTTTCATACGTCACTGAAAGTAAATAGTTGTTGGTATTACTGTAAGGTAATTTTGCACGAATTCAAATAATTTAATAATGTTTATTGCAAAACCGCAAAATGGATCAAATTTCATGGAATATGCTGTAATATTATAATAATTTAGTAATCAAGAATCAAAATTTTAATATTGATCACCAACACTATATTTATGAACGTCGACAAGTCACTCCCATTAAAATACTTTGCTAGAAAATAAGCTGTCATCTACGGTTAGCTATACCTATAGATAACCTAGACAACATAATAATTATAGATGAGGTTATTGTCCCAAAACAGTATCTGTAAGATGTATTAAATATATTAATAATAAATTCGTGGAATAATTGTTCCTAAAGTAAGTTTTTGATCATGGTACACGCCAAATCTATATTGTTTATTATTTTTTGAGATATTAGATTGCAATATTTATAATTTACATTTGAATTTATTGTCTTTACATTTGTCAGTTTGTTTTTATTTTGCCATATATTAATAATAATTCTTTGAATGAGAAATGTATCCGTTTATTTACTAAGTTTACTATGTTTAACCTATAAAATCAATATCTGACCTACAACAATATTTAAGAAAATGTAACTATAATTGAAGTATATAATAAAATAATTATAAAGAACAGATCTTCATGTAATATGAATTCATAAAGATGCCACTAAATTTTAAATATAGAACAATATTGTCCTGTACTTGAAAAATGTGTTCACGAAGTGGTATTAAATCATAATTACTTTATTTCCTCAAAGGAAATAGAAAGCTAGTTATTCATTAATGAACGTACTTAACACATATTTTATTCAAGTTTATTTTGCCTGAATATATAATATAAATAGTTAAATATAAACTTTCGAAATGGGACCATTATAATAAATACATTCTTATTTTCCAGTGAGATCATTGAGATCTATTTCAAGTAAATGTACTAGCATTTACAAAACACCGAGAATAAGTTGTCAGAGATTTGCATCAGTTTATGACAATCCAAACATCATGAGTGAAATTCCAAGTTTACAACAAGTCTTAAAAAAATTGAATGATTTTGCACCTCTCACTTTGGCCGAATCATGGGATAATGTTGGATTACTAATAGAACCTGCTACTCCCAAGTAAATTAATTACTCAATATATATATATATATATATATATATATATATATAAATAAATTTATCTTTGTATTTTAGACCGATACAACGGATACTTCTGACCAATGATCTTACAGAAGAGGTAGTACAAGAAGCTATCGAATTAGCTGCTAATTTGATAATTACATACCATCCTTCAATATTTAGTCCATTGAAATCTGTCACAATGAGGTAATAATGCTAACAATATATTTAAATGAAATATAGAACATTAATTAATAAACAATGTATATATGTTGGTTAAAATTTTTTAAAAATATTAATTGATTCAGTTAAAGTTATTTGGTAGGTAAATATTTGAATGTGATAAAAACCTTTGTTGTCAATAAAAAAAATTCTCAAAACCTTAAACACTTCATTTGAAATCAAATGTGTGTCAAAAGAATAATAACTTAATGTTCTGAATTATAAAAATATACTCAGGAGTACTAAATGTAAATCATATATTTTTTCTAGAACTTGGAAAGAACGTATAACAGCAATTTGCTTAGAAAATAGGATAGCCGTGTTTTCCCCCCATACAAGCTGGGATTGTGTTCAAGGAGGTGTCAATGATTGGCTAGCAAATGCATTTGAAATTGAAACATCTATGCCTATAATTGTAAGAAAAATTGTTGAATCTATTTGTGATAATAATCATACCATTCATAGTAGTATTTTATATTAAATTAATTTTGCAATATTACTTATTAAGTTATAAATTAATTTTTATAAATTGAAATTTGTAGAAAAATATTGACCCGTCAACTGGAGCTGGTAGATTGTGTAAATTAAAGAATTCTATATCTGTACAAAAAGCAGTAGATTTAGTCAAAGCTCAAATAAATATACCCCATGTACGATTAGCTTTGGCTGCAGGCAAAACAATGGGTAAGAGTACAGAATATTTTCTATAACACATAAGGTAACCATGTATTTTCTTCAATTAAATCATTTATAATTGCAGATTCCACTATATCTTCTGTAGCAGTTTGTGCTGGATCTGGAACCTCAGTTTTTAAAAATGTAACTGAAGCAGATTTACTTCTAACCGGTATAATTTTTTTTGATTAACTTTTGATAAATTCTTTGTTTATTATGAAACAATTTCACCATACTTGCAATGTATAAATATGAATTATTTTCAACATATTATTACCACTTTCAGGTGAAATGCAACATCATGATATTCTAAATGCAGCTCAGAATGGACAGCATGTAATTCTTTGTAATCATAGTGATTCAGAGCGAGGTTTTTTGAAGGAATTCAAATCTATATTAGAAAAGACGTTCAACGAAGAGATATCTGTAACAGTTTCGGCAACAGATAGAGACCCTCTTATAACTGTTTAATTTACTTTATTCGTTGTACCTTGTTTTTGTTGAATAAATAAATGATATATTTCTAGAGAAATAAATTTTATATTAATAACAATAATGAAAACATCTTTTATTCAAGGAGGCTGTTTTAGTATTCAGTAATAATATTGATAATAACTGTTAATAACCAGGCAAATTCCTGGAACTTCCCGTACCGTAACGAAATGATCGAGGAATATTAAATAGTTTTTTATAAATATTGTAACATTGTCTAATATTTACAAGATATATTATATAAACTGAATCGCAAAGTTGAAATTATTTGTTTAAAGTATATTAGAGCAGAATTAAAATTAAAATCTGAATTATTTTCGATAAACAAAAAAAAAAAAAAAATTCTTAAAAAAAAAGAGTTTGAAAAAAAATTAGAAACAAATTTTTTTTTCTAAAAGCAATTATTTTGTTGAAAAGAAAGTTCTTAGAAGAATTCAAATCGGACGCTTAGTTATCTCAAAAACTGCCATTTTTTGCATATTTAGCTTTGTATCTTCGAAATAGCTGGACGTGCCTTTGCTAAAAACTAATCACCTTTTCTTCCAATCATTACAAATTGAATGTTTTTTAGATCATTCAAATCGGATACTCCGTTCTCTTAAAAACTTGATTTCTATTTTCTGCATTCTTTGCTCCGTATCTTCAAAACGTCTGGACCAAAAACTAATCAGCACATCTCCCTATCAATAGGAATCGAATGGTTTTTCAACCATTCAAATCGGTTGAACAATAACGTATGCTTTGAAGCATTCGTAGAATTAGACACAAACGATGTACGGTATTATGTTAGGCGGCAAATTTTATCACGGAATTAAGGACTCAGCAAAACAGCGATTAAATGACGTTCTACGATGCAAAATTTTGTTCTATAAAAATCTTACAAGTCTAATTGATAGAATAAAACAGTTTTGTCTCATTCACTTTTCTACTTTTTCTAAAAATCATCTTTAAAGTCCAACTTTCCTTAATATACCGGAATACGGTATTATAAAATAAAAGTACATAAAATATTGGTCAATAAATTGTCATTTATTAAATATAATAAATACAGCATTTGATTTGACAAAAAATAAATTGAAAATATTTGTTTTGTGTTCAAGGAATAACAGACATATCTATAACTTTTAAATTTGGAATATATATTCGTTGCTTTACAAAAATCCGCATTGAGTTTGTCATGGCTAATAAAATAAATAATAAATCTGGTGCATGTAACTCAGAAAAGCTTTTTGTAAAATCTATTATCTCAGAACGCAAGTGAAAATTTTAAGTGAAAAACAATTTAGTTTTCATCGACATCAGCTTCTTGCTCCTCATCAAATTCGGCATCTTCATCAGCAGTGGCTTCTTGGTATTGCTGGTATTCTGAGACCAAATCATTCATGTTGCTCTCGGCTTCAGTGAATTCCATTTCATCCATACCTTCGCCAGTATACCAATGCAAGAAAGCCTTTCTTCTGAACATAGCAGTGAATTGTTCTGAGATACGTTTGAACAGTTCTTGGATGGCAGTGGAGTTACCAATGAAAGTAGCAGCCATTTTTAAACCTCTGGGCGGAATATCACAAACGGCTGTCTTGACATTGTTTGGAATCCATTCTACGAAGTAGCTGCTGTTCTTGTTTTGGATATTTAACATCTGCTCATCTACTTCCTTCATGGACATGCGTCCTCTAAAGACGGCTGCTACTGTTAAGTAGCGTCCATGTCGTGGATCACATGCGGCCATCATGTTTTTGGCATCAAACATTTGTTGTGTGAGTTCTGGGACTGTGAGGGCTCTGTATTGTTGACTTCCTCTGGATGTGAGGGGTGCGAAACCTGGCATGAAGAAGTGGAGACGTGGGAACGGTACCATATTTACTGCCAATTTTCTCAGATCAGCATTTAATTGACCAGGGAAACGAAGGCAGGTGGTGACTCCAGACATTGTTAAGGAAACTAAGTGATTTAAATCTCCATAAGTGGGTGTGGTTAATTTTAAAGTCCTGAAGCAAATATCATATAAAGCTTCATTGTCAATACAATAGGTCTCATCTGTATTTTCTACCAATTGATGTACGGATAAAGTTGCATTGTAAGGTTCTACCACTGTGTCTGATACTTTAGGGGATGGCACTACTGAGTATGTGTTCATTATCCTATCTGGGTATTCTTCACGAATTTTTGAGATTAAGAGTGTGCCCATGCCAGATCCGGTACCTCCTCCCAAAGAATGAGTTAACTGAAATCCTTGTAAGCAGTCACATGATTCGGCTTCCTTACGAACTACATCTAAAACAGAGTCAACAAGTTCAGCTCCTTCGGTATAGTGTCCCTTGGCCCAGTTATTTCCCGCTCCACTTTGTCCAAAAACAAAATTATCTGGTCTAAAGATTTGTCCAAATGGTCCAGAACGAACAGAATCCATAGTTCCTGGTTCCAAATCTACTAGAATTGCACGAGGAACATATTTACCACCGGATGCTTCATTGTAGTAAACATTAATACGTTCCAATTGAAGATCGGAGTCTCCGTGGTAGGCACCAGTTGGGTCAATACCATGTTCATCGGAGATGATCTCCCAGAACTAAAAAAAATTAAATTCAGTAACCTTCTTCATTTATTTTACATGTTATATTAGAATCATAATAATGATATTAGATAATAGATATTGGTGATGATATTGAAATTGGGAAGTGAACTCTGTGTCATTCATGTAGCTAATTAGCTGTAGTAATGTGGGATTTGAAGCTATATTACAAGTAATTAAAAAATCAGTTAAATTTATAAAAGTCTGCCAAATGGTAGCTGCAGTCTCCAAACTGCTGAAAATTAGTAGAAAACACTTATAAATATGAAATGAAATAAAAAAGTATGGAATTTAAATGATTTTAGAAATAAGGCTGAGAAAATGTTTATATCCTGGAATATTCTAGAAAATTAAAAAGAAATCTAAGATAGTCAGATACTGGTGCATTTTTTTTAACAATTTCATCAATTTTCTATCAAAAAGACAAAAAAACATAAAAAAAGGGTCGAAAGCGTTTTGATGGTAATAGTTTGTAAAAGTTATTGTCAAAAATGCATTTTACGATTCTATAAATCCATGCATTTAGAAAAACCTAAAATAACGATCATATTAAAATTGGATCAAAGAGCATTCTGGTAATACAAATTTATGAAAATAAGTTTAGGAGTAGATTTCTTATCTCTGAAAACCTAAATATTCGGTAAGTAAAAAAATTATATATAGGTAAATAAATTTGCAAATTATTGGTACGATTCTGCCGTAAAATAGAACAATGTTATAGCAAAGCTATGCTATGTAGCGTTTTTTTATATAAAATGGTACTAAAAACTGACAAAATTCTATGTGGTTGCTGTGCAGTCAGGTGTTTAGATAGTAAAACTAACAAAGATGTCGAAGTGCATTTTTGTGATGTGACATAATAACATATGAATGAAGTTATATTTTATGTGTAAAACGTCTGTCTGCACATAGTATTTTGACAGTTTTCAGTACCATTTTATTTGCAAACACTACGTAACATAGCTTTGCCTTAATGTTGCTCAAATTTTAAGGTGATATTTAAATAATTGTAGAAAAACTATATTAAAATTTTCGTTGACTTAAAACCAATTCTGTGTTATGGTTTCTTATAATTAGAAAATATTACTTGAAATGACGCCAAGTGCCAATGTGTTTAATAAGTGCATTGAATTCTCATTGAAGCAGTTCATTCGCATATCGGGCATGTTGTATTCAACTAGTAATTCACGGGCAAATGTGTTTTAGAGTTCAAGACGAAATTTTTAATTATTATGCAAGTTAGTGCAAACCGTTATGTGTTTAATGATCAGAACAATCATGCATGAGCGCGGAAGACGTCGAGACCAACTGTAAATGCAGGCAATAAATTATAAAATTATTCTGGAATGGATGAACGGCAACTATTTTCTCGATTTTGTGACGTTGGATTAGATATGCAAGTATATCAAACATCAATGACCTGGGTAGATTGGATCCATTCACTAACAAAAGAAATTTGACTGATTTAAATTTTCTGAAAGTTCTAATAATTCTTCAAACTTGCAAGTAGCTTCTATGAACCTTTTTGTTGGCAATATGTATTTTATCAAAAAATATAAAAAAATACTGTTTTCAGTAAAATATTTTGTGTATTTATTTAATTTACAATGTCTTGTGCATTGCCTTTGCTTTAATTATTTCATACAAGACGAATATTATGCTGCATAAGGGCTCAGTAGACTATTCTGACTACATTATTCTCATGGCTTCCTAATTACTGATTATGCAATTATTAAGGATTTAAAGAACAACTATTTAAATTACTTTGAACTACAAATTCGAATTATCTGTTGAATTTAAAAGTGGCCAAATCCGCTGGGGCTCTTCTATATTCTTACTGAAAGTAAAAATTAGTCTATAAAGAACAAAATTAACAATTTTGATCTTGAAATATCAAATTTATAATTACTTAATTATAATATTTTTACAAGGGGTTTTTCTAATTAAGAAGTTTTGCGAAATCGATTGACATTTTCAAAGATTAACGATAATCCTACTCTGGGTGATTAAGTTTTGGATTTTATTAAACCGAAGTTTAATTTATTATCAGAGGACTTATGTTCAGGTTCAGAAACTCAAAATGATATTGTGTTAGACTCATATAATTATATAATATTCATCCATATAACATCGATACTTCACACATCTACAAAACTGGTAGATGAAAACGGGAGTAAGTGGCATAGTGCCTCAAGACAGTTTTAATTTTTTTTAATACTATCCATTGTTTCACACTTTAATGATTTTATTAAATTCAAACTAGAAAAATTGATGTTAAGAGCAGCTGATGAAACTATAAAAATAGGAGGAAATAAGAAAAGAAGAATTGAGAAAAAATTTCAACTCCAAATGGTACGAAAGTTGACATAAACAATGTCTATATGTATCTAAATTGCAGAAGTCACTT